GTGAGGGAGCTGCAGGCTCGGGGTTCCTTCAATGTCGGGGATCGACGGAAGTGGTGCATTTGTAGTATAGTTAGCCTCTTTATCGACAACAATATCCTCCGGGTGCTCAAACATGCTCAGCGAGCGTCGGCACTGTTTCCGAGGGCGCGTCATCGGGTGGGAATTTTTGCGAATCGAAGCCGCCGTGGGCGAGCCATTGCCGCGGACATGGCTCCCACTGCTTCCAAGTTGGGGTCTCAGTCGGGGATTGATCAGGATTCCGCTGGAGTGGCGACTCAATGATGGCCGTTCCCGCTGTGGTGACTCGTTGAACATGTCCTCCAGTGATGCAGATGCGCTCAGCGATGTTTTCCCTCCTTTGCTCTGGAACTTGAATGGTGGTGCCTGGCTCTCCGGGGCGGGTTTGGTCATGCCCAGCTGAAAGGTCTGGGCTTTGCTCCTGGCCAAACTTGGCCGCAAGAAGGTCGGACGTCTTCTCCTACAGACACAAATGCAATTAGATCCACATCGCCCAAAGTCACGTCCAAGCACTTCTCTCTTACTCTTGCAGGCTATCCTTTTGCTGGACGAGGGGCGATTCCTCGAGTGGGCTAGCGGCGGCAGACATCATCGGAGTATCCATTGTAGAATCCAGGCTAGGCGAGTCAAGTTCGGCTTCGTTCAGAAGGCTGAATGCCGGCTTATGCGGTAACGGGGACATTTCCATGATATCCATGGCGGGAGCAGGCGAGGACGCGGGCAGTGGAGGTGTGGTCATAGACTCTGCTCTACAGTTAAGCAATGCACCCTCTTATGACCTCAATTGGGAGTGTCCTCTTACCACACCGGTTACTATTCCCGAGCAGACTCGCAGTGAACAAAGACCGCCGGGGCGTAGTCAGCTGCGGACTAATTTTGGGGTGTTAGTGAATCCCTTCATGGGTGGACCAGACATTCGGAACAAAGACCCGAAGCCAACGGCAGAACGAACCTTTGATCAATGTGAAAATTTTGAGACAGATCCGCGGCGAGGCTAGCCGTGGGAGACGAGCCTCGAACGGGTTTCACATTAAAATAGTCCCCATGGCCTTTCTTCATGGAGAGGTCTTTGAAGTTGAAATTCTTGTGGCCCAGTCCACGCATTGGACTGAAAGAAGTATAGGATGTCGGTGCATCTGCACGAAAGCAATGCCCAAACATCACCGAGGGGGGCTGCATGGCAGCCAACGGGGACGAATGTTCCATTCTTGCCGGAGAATGATAGTCTTCCGCTCTCTCTGGTATTCCACGCCCAAAAAATCGACGACCAAGAGAAGTAATAGCTAGTAGCCAAGAAACAGACGACAGATACGGTGCGGACTATATCTATCCGGCATACACTACACGGCAGATGTGGTACAATCGTAGTCGTAGTCGTAGTCGTCGTAGTCTATCCAGCTCCTTGCACTCCTCCTAGTATATCCCGACTTGTCTCAGATCCCGAACCCTCGCAGAATGTAATGACGGCTTCGAGAAGTCTTGAACTGACCAGTCCGAAACCGCACTACTCGGTGACGAAGCCGTCGGTTTAGAGTGACATAGCTGGGGTGTCCAGTTGGGGGATCAAGGTGATTTCGGGAAGGGTATGGGTTGGAATAGGAAGCAGGTCGGACGGGCAAGATGGCTAGACAGAGAACCGCAGACCAGATCAGCAAAGGCACATCCTCACAGCGAAGAATTAGGGGGACGGGATGGTTGCAGATAGGCCATAGATATGGTACGCTAATGCAGTCGGGGGAAAGTTACCGAAGAGAAGAGGACTGAATGCGGGACTGGGCCTGGGCGAAGCTCACACGACGGAGCATGGGAATGAGGAGCAGGGGAAAGAAGCTCTTAAGAAGAAGGTGGAGAGCAGACGTTTAAGAGCTAGCTAGGGAGAGAGAAAGAAGGAAGAGAAAGAAAAAAGGTCTGGAGAAAGTGAAGCTGAAGGGATGCCCTTGTTGCAATGGCAACGCAAAAGTGGGGAGGGATCTCCAGATGCTCTGCGCAGAGCTTAAGCGACGATGGGTTAGGCTGTGTCAGAAAACCAATGTCGAACCGGTTTGGTCCATGACCGCATTAAAGGATTTGACCCTTCAGAAAAATAACCCAGGCAAGACACCGCCTGCTCTTTTACTTGGTTTGCTTGGTTGCTGGTTGTCTCTGCAAGGCCTGGCTAGTTTCCTATTGAGGAGTAGATTGACTCTTTCATTCTTGGAGAAGGGATTGATTGATTTCTTTCTGTTCTGGTTTGACCGGAGAATAGAAGCGACTGACGACTATGTTACTGCTCCTAACTAAACTATCTGGTATTCCCGAATAGCCGCCCTAGTATCCAAATCGGGCTCTACTTACTTTGGTTAATTTGTGAGTAGATTTTCCTCTTTTCTCTTCAATTTTCTTTCCCTTTTTTACTTCTCCTCTCCGGGCGCATATTGAATTTTGCAGTGACAGCTGTAGGTACCTTCCAACATACATACATTAGATACGCATACCAAGGAAGATTTATTTCCTTGTTCGGGAAGGAAAGGTACCAATACCATACAGTTATGTACGTTGTATGTATATGTAGTATGGGTATGGGTATGGGTATGGGTATGGGTATGTATGTATGTACGGAGTATAGAAGTTATCGAGTGACCTTCCAGAGTCAGTCATAGTCATCTCCAGAGTAAGTAGGTACCCGGACTGGGACTAGTCCAGCCAGGCTAGGGCTCTGGGCGCCCCTCGTTGCCGGGACTCCCTTGCCGCCAGCACCAGCGCTAGCCGCTGCTCAGCAACCCCCCGCCTATCAGCGTCCTTACTGCCTCACCCGCTCACTATCGTCTTAGTAGTCCTCTACCAATCTCGGCGGGCTGGCTGAAAAAAATGGTCCATGATGGATCGTGCCTGTCTCACGGAACAAGTGAGAGAAAGGAGAAAAAAGGGTATCGGAGTACTGTTCTTTCGGCCTTCTTTTCTTTCCATTACTAACGCAACTGCGGAGGCAAATTATGGGTCCCCCTCTTTGTATTTCGTTTTTTGACAGGTTTCACCTATGTAACAAACTCGCCGAATATTGCTGTAGAAACCGTTGGTTCCAAATTTGCTTTTTTTTTTCCTTTTTCCTTTCATTTTTCGCTCTGCATAGTACAGCGAGGTATTACTTCGGGACACACAAGACAAGACTCAATTTCTCTGCTAAGCGCCGTGTCAGTTCTCTTTCCGACCAGGGCTGACTATTACCTAGTATTCGATGGTTCATTCCTCCAATTACAATCCTGGCTTAGACTCACTCCCTGGCTAGGTCAATCAATTAATCTAGGTCCAGCTCAATGCCTCCGACGGAAATAGATGGACGAACTAACACCCACTTGGGAAAGTCCTAGGTCGTGGTAGGTATGGGTAGGTAATTAGGTATGCGATCACCCCAGGCATCTTTTCAAACTATCTACCTAGTATGGAGTACACTGTCCTGGGATATTTTTTTCGGCCGATCGACCAGTCAAAGCAGCAAGTGGACGAGATAAAAATCTGAAATCCGATCAATAATATTATCTTCCCGTGTGTGCCGTTCGATTTTTTCTGCGTTCGACTCTATACATCATTCCCGAGAACCAAAAAGAGAGATCGAGTCTAATATCTCCACTTGGGCTCCACTGAGTCGGAAAAAAGAGCTTGTCCGGTATCATTTCTCAGGAACGGGGTTTCCATGGTATAATTGCGAACCTTGACTAGCAAGTAGAGCTGTCATACATACGTAAAGCTTCAATCACCTGGTAACTACCAGGTATCTACCGTCAGTCGACTGACCATGCCATGAGGTATTGCTCTACATCAAGACTTGCCAAAATCGAACCATTGCCGCCATGTTCTTGCTCCAAAGTCATGTATCACAGACCAAACCCACATGCCGACTGATTAGATCATCGTTGCCTTCACAGGCACACCTCGTCTCCGATCGGAAAAATGGCCGGCTTTGCCGGATTGAGTAATGCCAGAGCAACTGCACCACTGGGGGCCTCAGATCCGAGCATACCACGCTCTTAACTGCCATCCAGTAGTGAAGCGAATATCTGCAGAAGAATCTTCTTCGGCCTCCGCCGTGACCAACATGGAGGAAGTATGCCACTATCAGATCCACCTAGATTTTGTGCAACTCCAGCATCTCTCTTCTCTGGCAGATCATCATAAGAGATGGAGCATTCAGGTATTTCTTTTTACGGACAGCTTGACTGCTTCGGACACACACACACACACACAGTAATCGGGCTTCAGGGCAGCAAAAGATCTGATGATGGTCCCTCCAGACTGGATTTTTCGCAACCCCTCTTGCGCACAGTCTTCATGGTGGTCCGTTCTTCACACTCACATCATTCCCTTACGTTGGCCCTCACTCTGCCCACATTCCTGCAGACCTTGGCCAGGGATATCCTCCCTTTCTTTCAACAACCATCTCAGGAAGGTGCTTTGATAACAAGCCATGTGGGATCTTATCGCTGCTCTCGACAGTGGCTTTCCAACAAGGAGCAATTGCGCCAGCAGAGAGCTCCGTCCATGTCTACGCCGTGAGGCTGAGGCCGTCTAGCTTACGGCTCTAGACCTAGCCGGGTGTGGGGATCAATATACACTCCAGCTGAAGCAGGATTTCCTGTCGCACCCGAGAGGCTGACGACGTCACTTTGGCTGATACACTCCTTCTCCGCCACAACGAGGGGCCAAACGGCATTCTGGAGTCATGCAATCCCCGAGCCAGTTATGGGGAGTATAGCTCTCCACCATTCGGGTTCAATCTCCTCGATCTCTATGATATTGCCTCGAAGCTAGTGCTGCCTCGTGGGCCATGAAAATAGCTCGATCGAATAAGAGAGGGGCCCTCCTCGCTGTTACTATTACACCGCCACGGATAGCGAGATCGGTAAGCTCCTGCGAGCAGCGATCGCATCATTGACCATTCACAATGGTCATTTCTTCGTTGTCCCAAGGCCAGAGGCCCCTCACCTGTGAGACACCGGACGGTCCCAATGATGATCCCTTCCCTCGCTCCGAACATATTAGCGCTAGAGCTCATGAGGGTCCCGATTGAGCAACAACAATCATCCCCCTTGAGCGAATACAGCCGGAAAATGCGGCTCACCCGCGGTGTCTACGCGCCAGGAAGGGCGCTAGCCCCAAGAACTATCAGAAGCAATATCGCTAGAGTGTCAGTCGGTTCCGCCTTTATTGAGGGCGGGTGGGTAGGCATTGTACAGAGTAAGTTCAAGGCGACATCACTTATAAGGGTATTAAATTAGATGATTGATTGACGCGGAAGAGGGGGGGAGTTCTTGTGCGGCTGAAGGATTTACTGAGTGTCTACTTGTTTGATTATAGGCGCCGGGAACTGATCTGGACCGTCGCCCGCGTGAAAAGCGAGCCGTGCTAAGCCGGTTAGTGTTCCTTTTCCTACTTACCTCGGATCTTTCGGTGGAGTAGTCGGGGATGTTGACGGGCTTCTCCGTCACTTGAGCGGCCATGACATGCACTGTTATCTGTCGGCCAGGCAGCCCAGACACGTCCGCGGACCGGGCATCAGCGTCGGGCGCTCTTGTAAGTGTCAACAATCCCTGCTAGTGGTCCGCGTCAAAATGGTCCAGTATCAGCAACAGCCTTGGCAGGCCAGCAGGAAGCGCTGCTGCGGGGTTTCAAGTGGTGATGGGGCCCCTGATTGGGCTAATCCTGCAGCTTTAAGTGCTCGTGCTCCAGAAAGGCTGTCTGCAACTTTATTTAGATACGGTGAATGGGGGGGATGATGCTATCTTCTCCCTTCCCCCTCCCCTCTTGTCCCCTCCGTTCGGACTGGAGTGCTCCCAACTTGCTTTCCCAGATCTACCTGCCTGGAATCGCGTCGATTGGAGGGAACCAGTCGTGATGTCACATGGAGGGGAAAGTCTTGCATGAAACCTTCTCTCATCCTTCCCTTCCCGCACCCTCCGGTATCTGCATGTCACCACTGTAACTGTATGTGCGTATGTATGCGCTGGCACACCACCCACACCCACACCCACACGGTCGGAGGGGAAATAATCCTGGTTCGTGATGAGTCCTGCAGATGACCCGGCTGGCATTGTTTATCACTTTCCGTTCTGGCTTCTGCTGTAAACAATAACAATAGTGGTGAACCGTGGAACCCCGGAGTCTCCCCTCCCCCGTCGACGCGACCGGCAGAGCGTGGTCCCGTGACTTGGCCCCGATGCTGACCATCCCCCCGAACCCAGTAATAACTCCATGACATCACCGAGATTTCTCCCTTCTTTGTCCATTGTTGCTCGCCTTGCTTGTCCCTTTCTTGTCGCCCTTCCTTGCTCCCCCCCTTCCCAACCCTTCTCCATGGCTCCCTATTCTGGTCAATAACAACTGATTCGGGCCAGTCCCAAATTTGTGCCCAAGGCGAGATTCCCCTTTCACCTCTTTGATGCCTTATTTTGTCCATCCCACCTGCGATGGTGCTGGGACCCGTAACTAGTTGAGTCTAGATACGATCGGGGAAGCGATCTGCAGAACTATCGCCTAGTGACCCAGATCTTCGTCCTCTGGCCATGTGTTCCCGTTCACACTGTAAACAACTGGCCTGTTGTTGCCTCCTAGATCCGATCTCGCAGTGTAGTTGAAGGCATATTCGATGTGCACATTACTATCTGATTTTCTACCATAGACATGAGCTTAGAAAAGCTTATTCCAAACAGGAGCGCATTAGCCACATTCACTGGCGCTTATTCCCAAGTGCATATCTGGGGATGTTACCGAGGACTGCATGTAGGCGCAAGATATCGTCTACTCACTAATTAGATGGCCTTATCATAGATCTCCTGAGTTTCACCATGCAAGCATGGCTATCTAGGTATCCGGGGTGAACATCACGACCCCAGTAATATCAAGATAATATCGATCGCATATGCATATACTTGCCCCTTCTTTAGGAGCAGAGCACCCTTGCCAAAGGCGAGATCTCTTAACCCCATACAACCCTGTTGGATGAGTAGTTATCAATCAATAACCCACTCTTACCAATGAATCCTCCAATACTATCCACCACCCCCAGCACCACACAACACAGGGGCGAAAGGTTATCTAGGAGAATAAAGACAAGATATCGGGTCAATAATCCGCACGATAACCCCCTGCAAGTCTATCTAGCATATCCTCACCTTTACCGTTTCGGCACATCCATGATCGCCATTCCTGGGCCCCAGCCACCCACATCCAAACTAATATCTATCTATCCCCTTCCTAGCCCTACCATTACTATTCCAACCTTTATCATAAGGTTTTCCCTTTCGTAGCTTAGTCCCAATTATCTGCACGAAATTCCCCGTTTCTTCGAAGGATATCTCCTGCAGGTACGCCAGGTACCAATTAAACATACATGCACCCATGCGCCACCCCTTGCATCGGTATGTAGCTAGCTAGCTATATGGGCCATCCACCCCGCATGTATACAGGATAAGCTTCTCCCTCTGGGATTGAGTTTAGTGTTTCTAGGAGGGTGGAATTAGTGCAGCTCTTTTAGTAGTAGTGACTCTAGTTCACGCTATGGCACACATACCCTGCTATGGTTTAGAAGAGTTTAGTACGAAGTGAAGTCTTTCGCCATGTTTCTAATTAAGCTCTAAGTTAGCGACAGTCGTAAAAATGTTTCTCTCTCGGCAAGTTGCAAACTTGAGGAATTCTGTCTCGGGATGGGCGTGGTTAGAGTTATTTCTCTGGTATAATCTTAGCAATCGAATAAGTTTAGTATGTAACTATTCATACAATACGTGCATTCCTGCTATCATCTCGAACGTTACGATCATGATACTTGTTTACCCACTACATTTAACAATCTACAAGATAGCTACTATCTAAAATAGTAAGTCACTTACTTACCTAGTTATCTCACAATCTCCAACAAAACCAATACTTCCTATTCCTATCTCACGGCCCATCAACTTATCCAGACATGTGGTCAACTATGCCGATAGTAATAACTACCACCCCCCAGGAATGCAATCTATACCCATCTAAGTAGAAAGTCACGCCGTTAGGGCAGATCATTCCACGGCAGTCTACTAGACTACCCTGCAAGCTCATATTGACTAGTCGAGTAGGGGCCTGTTATAAACCGTTGCGTAGCCCGCACATTCATGCCTTAGCATCCTGCTTTTCTACTGAAGTGTCCCCACTTGACTATTTGCTGAAGAATACCAGCCCTGGATCATCAGTTCGCTACGCTACTATTTCCATTATTACTATTGCTGAGGTATGAACTAGTGCTGGGTGGAGAGTGCTAGACTAGTAGCGGTTGGGCTAGGAGATGTCAGTATGTGGATTAACGGGTTGTGAGTTATCACTTGCTTGTGGGTTGTGGGGGGTTATAGGGCATGCCGCTGCTCCTGTTGACGCTGACCTGCAGGATTCCTAACGGTTGTTAGTCTACTAGTAGGTAGGTAGGTGGGTACCTAGGTTGATGTTCATCCTTATTTATCTAATTACTACGCTGTAGAACACTCTGCGCTACGGTACTTCCTCAATTAGGTATAGGAACACTAGTATAGTCTATTAATCGTGTACTCTTACACACGAAGCTATTAATAATATTCAATTCCTTCGCAGGACAACATAATAGCTACCAGTAGTGAACCAAAGTAAAGCCATTTTCGATATCACGAATTCAATATACCACTATCAATACTGAAATGCATGCCACAATTCAACCCCAGTAAGGGATAGATACTCTATAGTCTATATTGAATACTTCCAAGTTGTAAGCACCCAGTGGATATCATCGATAGCATCGATACTTGTGCCTTCTATAATCAGTTAAGAGGGAAAGGATGCGTCGCCTGTCTGTTGGCGGGAATTTACAAGCCGGTCTCAGTCGTCCATTGAGAATGCAGGGATTCCTTATCCCTCTCCCCTCTTCCTACTCGATTATGAAGATCCGCACGTAGCAGGGAAGGGAAGGAATGGCGGGTCTTTTGGTGGGTTGGATTTGGGATTTGGGTATTGGGTATGGGGTGTATTCTAAAGGGGGTAAAAGTGTAGATGATTGTAGTATTTGGGAGTAGGCTGTAGTGACAGTGGGTATAACGGTTAATGTTGGGCATATGTGGTATTTGGTTGTTAGATGTTGGAACATATATCTTTGTTTGCTGTCTAGACAGACGCGATAGATCATTTTTGGTCTACTTGATGGTGCGCAACATTGGATGATGGAAGTAAGGAAAAAAGTGAGTGCCTGGTAGATAGGTATTTGGTAGTAATGACATTAGAGGGCGTATAGAGGATCTTTCTAACGATATAACACTAGTAAACAAAACGGGCTTCTTTCGCCCTGCTGAGGATGTTTTAGCCAAGGTGGCATGCCGTGAAGTACTAGCAATAAAGCGTTGGTTAGAAGAAATAGACGGCTCAAAGTGTAACAAGTACTGTTGGTCTGTTTTAATCAATATATATTCTATATGTGTAGCAGTACTAATAGTGGGTGTTCAACATTATCACGGTTCTGCTTTTAGTATACTTCTGATGGACTTATTTGGTTAATTATAGAAAGCTGCTTTAAATAGAGAGTAGTAGTGAGTAGACACTGTTGCCCTAGTTATATCATCGAAAGTAGCAGAGAGTAATACGGCTTTATATAAGCCACTTCCCCCTTTAGTCCTGTCTACAAAGCAAAGAGGGAGACGATAGTATGGAAATTGTTCAACGGCACGGGAAGTCGTACTTCTAGTAGTATATATATTTCGAGTATTCAACAGTGCTCAACCAGTCAATATATGTCAGACTACTATGCAAGATTCGATATAATCACCAGCTGATCCCAAGAGGCAAGCCATGGACAGAAGCCCAAATATTCAAATCCAGAGTTGCTCATATTATCCATTAAGCAAATCCCAAGAGGAGAGGTTAGGAAAACAACGACTAGAGTCTTCTTTTCCTTAGTGACCGCGCCACAACAATGTCATCTTTGTTCTGTCCTGCATAACACACAAACAAACAGGAAAAAAGAACGGAAAGAAGACATAAGCTCAATCTTAAGCATCAATCAACATCCAATCTCCTCTAGCCAATCCCTGGCTGACTGGATTCTCCTGTTGCACTCATCGCAGCCTTCGTGCTCAGAAGCTCCACTTTCAGATAAAGCTCCACCGTTTCATCATGATGATTTGCATAATGGATTGGTGGTCTTCCTTCTTCATCCAGTATATTCACATCTGCCCCGGTTTCGATCAGTACCGCAGCACGCGGCTCACTGTCCTTGGAGTCTATAAAGGTTAAAGCTGTCCGTCCACGCTGGTCCTTGACGTTTATATCGATACCGGTGGCTATTACTTGCTGAATCATTGAAATGTTTCCGGACCCTGCAGCGTAATGCAGAGCGGTGCGGCCGAACTTATCGACCGCGAACACAGTCTCTTTGCTCATATTGCTCAACAGCAACTGAGCAGCACGTAGCTGTTTGGTTTTGGCTGCTAAATGCAAATAGCTACTACCGTCTTTGGTCAGCTTGTCGAGATCCTTGCTGAGGTTTATCATCGTCTGTATAATCCCACGCTCATGTATACCATAGGATGCCCCGAGTATATTGTGGAGAGGTGTTCGACCCTCGTCATCCGGCATGTCTATGTCTGCCCCAGCTTCGATGAAAGAGCGAATGAGCCCAGTAACCTCAGCGCGAGAGTACGTAGCCAGACACATGTTATGAAACGGAGTAGCTCCCGAGGCGTCCCTAGTGGAGACATTGATTGTTGTCTTGCTAGATTTGGCGAGTTTCAGGATCCTTGCTATAGCCTTCGGAGTATACAGGTGACCGTGTCCTTTTTTCAATTCGGTTGTATAACTATGAAGGGCCGATTGTAGCACGTAGATGGGCCATAAGGAAGGTGCACGGTCAACGAGCAGCTCAAATATATCTCTAGGACCGTGAAGTATGTCTTCCATGCATTTGATCCCATTCTTGCTCTGAAAAGTTACTCTTGCTCCAGAGTTCAGATATAATCCGACAAAATCAATCTGCGAATTCTGAATGGCCTTGTGCAGTGGTGTCAGACCCTCTCTATTTGCCATGAATGGGTGTTCTCCAGCAGCTTATATTGCTTTCATGAGCAGCCTTGGGGTTTCTATATCTTCCTCACAGTGATATATTGAATCCAAGCAAACCACGTTCAGGGGTGTATTTCCTTCCTCATCCAAGCGACAAGGGTCATGGCCCTTATCAAGGAAGAACTGCACAAGAGAGCTAACTCCTCTCCTAGCGGCGGAATGGAGGTATAGTTGACCGTTAGTGCCAGTCACGTTGAATTCATAGCCGACCTTTTCGAGAGCGGACCCGATTTCTTTGCAGACTTCACCGCAGGTTTCTGGCCAGTAGCACTTCATACCCTGTTCAAATGCTTCCAGTAGGGCTTCCGGCGTGTATTGGCCCGAGTTAAGCAGGCATCGAAGCACGTCCGGCCCCCCAAATATTGTTGCTGCCTTCAATGGGGTATCTCCATAGGTGTCTTTTGCACTGGTATCTGCCCCGGCTTCCAGCAATGCCTGAACAACCTGATGATGTTTTCGTTTGGCAGCAATAAATAAAGGTGTTCTGTCATACCTGCCTTTTGCGTTAATATCTGCGCCCCTAGATAACATGAGCTTCACGAGCTCCAGGTTACCTCCCTCGGCAAATCGGTGCAGCAATGTAGAGCAACAGTACATCCGGGATACATCAGACGGGAAGTTCGTAAAATAGCCGACTATATGGGATGACTTCCAATGCTGCGTTTTAGAGAAACCACGCCTGTAGCAATGCTTGCCGGTGTTAGTGCATGAGAGCCACAGAGTTAAAAGCTGGGGTGTCAAGAGCTGGGCATATCGCTTCGATGTACGTGAAAAACTGGCCAATGTCTTGCGGTCCAGGAAGTCACCTATCCGGATGACCAGCTCTGCAGGGGAAAAGTCGAGACTAGGGGGTAAATCCATTGGGGATATGCGTAAGTTTGTTGACAGGTTAGCGAGAAGGAATATGCGTATATAGCCCGTCAGAAGGGGGCCTGTCAACTTGAAGATGGGGAGGTTGAAGTGGACAGATCCTGTGAGTCTATATATATCCAGTGACATAGCTTGAACCCCAGTTATATTCGTCGAGTCTCTTTTACAAAAAGCGGTAAAAGCAATGAGTTGTGTGTTCTCCAAGAAAACTCTTTCTTTCAGATTCCGAGACAGACATCGTTCATTGTGGATAATTCAGGATCACAAAATCCGTCTTGAAAGGCATCGAGGGGCGGCGACGACTGAGATTCACAGTTTGACAAATTCATACGAAGATAATGGAAAGTCTATTATTCTGCAGCTACCGGCCACTCCCATGGTTCCGGCATATTGAGTAATTGGGCTCGGGCTTTGGTGGCATTGGACCCAAAATAGATTCAATCTTTCATCCGATTCCTCTGGACAGAACCCATACCATGGATGCAAGACGGGAAGATCCTACTCCCATCCAGACGAAGTTCATATGACCAAAGAGAATAGATTTATGTTGACGCATCAGGGCAAAACATGTAGTTCCAGGGCTGCTCATAATTTGATCATACCTTAGTAAATGACAACAAGCCTCTATTGTGCATCCGTGCGCGAATAGCTTGTCAGCAAGATGATACTACATAACCTGTAAATGTCCTCATTGACAAGCCATATGTCCGACGGGCGTCATCAATCTCAGGACCGAAAGAGATAAGGGAAGGTGAGGAAGCTCCTACATGCACACCAAACCTTAATATTTAAAGAAAGCCCATATCAGCTCATTGAGAATGTGAAGGAACTAAGCTTATATTGTCTCGGGGCTACCATTCTCTCCAGGTTGGAGATGGACTGAGAGAAGGCCGCTATGGGCAGATTCATAAAGCTCGGGCATGGAGGGCACTCCACTATATGGCTGGCCCGTGATCTATAGAACTCCAGATATGGTGCCGTGAAGGTCATCATTTCCTTTTTCAATGGCGACACAGGTGAATCTGGTCTGCCTCGCTACTTAAAAGCGTCATCGGAAAAGCCTGGAGGGGATATTGTCCGGCCTCTCCTTGACGAGTTTTGAGTTGCTGGCCCCTATGGGAGGCATAGATGTCTTTCACTACCACGGCTCGAATAAGCTTATTCGACGCGAATGAGACTTCGAGGAGTGAGCTTTTTTCAGCCCAGGTTGCGCAGTCAATAATCGATCAAATTATTCGTGGGATTGCCTTTCTTCATAGGTGAAAATATGGCTCATTGCGATATGCAGTTGTTAAACACTCCTAGCTGTATAAATCGACTAACCATCTTATCGAGGGATTCACCTAGGGAACAATTTAATTGACTTTCTGAAGGCAATAGATACGCTTTCCAAGCCGGAATTGTACTTGAGATAAGGGGAGCCAGATTCGGAGCCCACTATTCGCGATGATGGCAAGGCTCTTTCAAACCGCGTACCTGTTAGGGTTTTCTTTGAGACCTGGTTTGACGTAGAAAGTTCTTGACTTTCTCTCAAAGAGAGCTTTGTCTCTTTGTGTGATTTTGGAATGTCTTACAACCCACACAAAAAGTCCCGACAATTCTCAGAAACCGTATTCTTCCTTCAGCCACCTGAGACGAGGCTTTCCGATAAGCCTCTCTCCTTTTCCTCACAAGAATGGACACTTGCTTATGCCATATGGGAGGTCTCCGGCGCTCTGCCGCTTTTCGAAGGCCTTCCTTCCATCCCTTGACCGGGCCATAATGGGGCAGGCTAATGCCCTTAGCATTCTACCTTCAGAGTGCTGGAAAATATGGGAGAAAGGTCGAAATGGTTCAACGAAGAATGCGAATCAAAGTGGGACCGAGAATATATGCACAAGGGTACTATGCGCGACACCCGGAATGCGAGTTCCACTATATCATACAAAACCCACGAACTGAGTCTGGCCTAGATACCATGACAGTGGAAGAAAGAAGTGCATTTGAGGCAATGATATGGCCAATGCTAAGATTTGAACCAGAGAAGAGTCACAGCACAGCAGTTAATCCAGTCAGAATGGATGAAGCGCTGGGGATTGCCGGCTATGGAACAGGGCTTGAACACGAAGGCGGATCTGGAAGACAAAAATGCAGACCCTTAGATCAATCTTGCAACTTCACCAACCCTAATTGCATCAATAAAGTTCATTTTTCTTCTCAAAGCTAAAGAGCCTTGTTTATCAAGGGGATTACCCCGACCTAGAATATCATGGCATGAACAACAGCAGCACAAATGACCTTTCAGTTACTTAGCCTAAATCAACCGTTAATATTGTTTTGCAACATCCTAAGCTTTATCATGTGTGAGTTACAACTACACTGCATAGTAATTGGTAGCGGTTCGATATACTGGAGCATTCAATCTAGAGGCTTTATATGCAGTGCGATAAGATAACAGCGACGATTCAACAACACACAAAGTGCTGCCGCATCATACCCTAAATCTTCTTCAGGAGAAACCCACACATAAAGCAGACCAATACTCTGACTCAGTTCCTAGCTATAATATTCTTTCCCTAAAAGGGTACAAACACAGCAATAGATAGTGTAGTATAGCATAGTGAGTTATGAGTATAAGTTGTGTTATGTAAAAAGCCAAGCCGTCCGGGGCGCGCTAACCCGATTAAGCCAATCGCCTCATAAATTTTCGGAAGCGGAATCGCAAGCAACTCCTGCATCCCAGTCGTCGTGGGTCTGTCCAGCGACTGTCTTATGATTGATTCATCATCTGTGAATCATTTCAATACATCTAATTAGTGGCGAGGAAGTTTTAAATTCTTCATTCCCCGCAATGGCGCAAAACAATGCCGCGTCCAAAAAGCGGCGCCGTGAGCCGGTCAACGTCGACACCAAATTGGTCGAGATCTATGAGGACCTCGCTAATGAGAAGGACGAGATCAGATTGAAGGCTGCCCAAGCCCTGGTATCTCAGTTCACTTCCGACAAGAACCCCGCCGATGAGCAGATCAAAAAAACCTTGCAGAGACTCTTCCGTGGTCTCTGCAGTAGTCGCAAAGCCGCCAGAATTGGTTTCTCTATTGCATTGACTGAGGTTCTGTCTCAGGTCTTTGGAGCTCCCCGCGAGTCGTCCGAACTGAATATCTCGACTGTCATGAACATCTGGGAGTCGCAGTCTAATGCTTCTGGTGGTGAGTCTGGTCAGGTAAATACATCCTTATCTAGGTCACATCTTATTCTACAATGCAATGCTTACTTTACTCTACAGGAACAAAGAGACCACTATTTCGGTCGTCTGTTTGGTGCTGAGGCTATCATCAAGTCCTCCATTCTGTTCAAGCCCAACGCTCCATTCAACGAGTGGACTAAGCTCCTGGACCTGGTGTTTGAACTGGCCAAGAAGAAGCCCTGGATCCGGGAGGAATGCGGCTGGATCATCTATCGCTGCATCTACGAACTTGCGGCCCAGAAGGCTGATGCTAAGTTTCTGGAATCTGCTCTTGAGCGTCTGTGCTCGAACGACCTTGCACGCACCCCAGAGGGAGTGGCCATCTGGCTCGCTGCTAAGGACCTGTTCCCGAATGCGAAGTTCCCCAGCAAGGTCTGGAAGCACGATGATCCTTTGGACGCAAAGGAGAGGAATCAGCTGGCCAAGGTCATGAAGGAGTCTTCCTCTGCTGATTCCGAAAGCGAAGGCGGAAACAAGGCAAAGTCGTCTGGAGTCTGGAACTCAAAGCTTCACTTTGCCTGGGACACTGTCATCAGCAGACTTGCCGATGCTCCGACAAAGGAGAGCAAGTCGAAGGGTTCTTCATCCCGTATCAGCTTCGCTGACTTCTGGACGGAAGTTGTCGACAGTGAGTTTCTCCCTCAGTTGTGGTGGCATCTATCTAACATAATTGTTCAGATGGCCTATTCGCCTCTTCATCCTCAGAGGAACGTAAATACTGGGGCTTCCTTCTGTTCAACAAGGTCATCAACGAATCTCCCCTGAGCTTGGCTTCCCTGGTGTTTACCAAGAACCTCGTCAGGTGTCTGATGAACCAGCTTGCCGTTGAGGACAGATACCTACACCGCATGGCCGTGAAGGTCGCAAAGGCCGTCCAGACACGTGTGTCCAAGGAGCCCGATTTTGCCGCCGCTTCTGTGCGTGGTCTCATGGGCTCAACCGGGACTGTGAACTTCGACCAGGCAACCAAGACGAAGACTGTGGAGAAGATTGTCGCTGAAGCCAACTTGGCCGCTCTGAAGCAGATCGTTCCGCTCTTCGAATCCCTCATTGCATCCCCGGGAACGACTGACAGCAAGGCTGCTGCGTCGAGCCGCCAGTTCTTGGCCGGTCTCCTCCTGTCCATTGTTCGTGCCCGGGCTTCGGCCAGTGACGACGAGGATGGCATGCAGAAGATCCTCGAGAAGATCCTCTTTGCCTTTGTTCGGTTCGCCTACTTCAAGCCCGCAGAAGAAGGCCGGGACCAGTCCGTCACTCCCTCTGTGACGGAGCAGACACAGGAGCTCTTCCGGAGCCGCATCAACTCGTGTATCAACAGTCTCATCGCTACGGAAAAGTACGCGGGCGTTCCGTACGTCGTTGTTCGCCACATCCGTGACGCAGTCAAGTCTGAAGAGCACGGAAAGTTCATCATCAACATGGACGACACTATCCAAGACGCAGTGAAGAACGCCTTCAAGTCGCTGAAGAAGCTCGCCAACATGGTAAGTCTATCGTCGGCATAGCCACCATTCATTACTAACCCATAATAGGAGAAGGGTGACAAGGCCAGCATTGATGCCTTCAAGCTCCTGTACTCCTTGACGATTTTGCAAGTGTACAACGGTGACGCCGATGCCGCCTCCATGCTGGAGGAACTCGACTTCTGCTACACCAAGATCTTCGGCGACAAGAAGTCCAAGAAGGAGGAGACCTCTGACGCCTCGGACGCTCTGGTGGAAATCCTGTTGAGTTTCGCATCCAAGCAGTCCCAGCTTTTCCGCCGTATGAGTGAGCAAGTCTTTGGTGCTTTCGCCGACAGCATTACAGAGAACGGCCTGGAGTCGTTGACCTCGGTATGTCCATCTCCCCACTTCCTCACAATCCCCACTAACATCCCATCTCAGATCCTGGAAGCGAAAGAGAGTCTTGCCGGACAGCAAGAAATGTTCGACCAGCAAGACGACGAAGGCGACGAGGACATGATGGACGTTGACGGAGAAGACGACAGCGACGTCGAAGTCATCGACGGCGACGCCGGCTCCGACTTCGACAACGACGAAAGTGACAACGAAGACGACGACGACAACGAATCCAGCGGCAACGACCTAGAAGAAGCAATCTTCGAAGCCAAGCTCGCCGAAGCGCTCGGCACTCACCGCGCCGACAAAGACCTCAACGAAGACGACTCCGAAGGCTCCGACGCAGACATGAACGACGACGAGATGGAAGAAATCGACACCCAACTCGTGAAAGTCTTCAAAGCGCGGCGCGACGCCCTCGGCCAGAAGAAAGACAAGAAAGACGCCAAAGAAAACATGATCAACTTCAAGAACCGCGTTCTCGACCTTCTCGAAATCTACGTCAAGAAATGCCACTCCAAGATCCTGGCACTTGATCTCCTTCTGCCGTTGCTGCGCCTTACCCGCCGCTCCACTGTCAAGCAGATCTCGAATAAGGCTGCTAATGTGCTCCGCGAATATACGAAGCACTGCAAGGGCGCGGCGCTGCCGAAGCTGGATGATGAGATCGAGCCGGTCTGGGAACTGTTGAAGTCGATTCACACCGAGGCGACGCATAGTGGGCCGCCGGCGCATGCGTCGGCGTGCAGTCAGGCTAGTTTGTTGGTGGTGAAGACGCTGGTGGCGCATGATAGGGAGACGATCTCCGGGGTGGTGGATGTTTATGGTGAGACGAGAAAGGCGCAGCTCATTAGCAAGAAGTGTCATGTGCAGCCGTCGTTCTTTACCGATTGGAATAATTGGTGTGTGTCGAGTAGCAAGCAGATGAAGAATTAGCTGTTACGGAGGACTTACTGTATAGATGGGCTATTAGTTAGATTGATTGGGACCAGTCCCGATAACATTGATTGTAATATATACACAATCTCCCTCCTAGTACTAAATTATAGACATCACATCACGGTTACCACCACCCACCGAGTTCTGTATAGTTCTTTCAAAAACCCTTAATATACCGATGTCCATCCGTAACCTCCACAACCTCAAACCCCATACCCACCTCTACCCTCCCCTCCTGCCTCGGGGCACTCAACATCCCAAAACAAGGCTTGAACTTAATCCCCTCATCCACACGCCGATACTTCATAAGCGTATCCCACGGCTGCCGACGATGCTTCTCCGCCGTATCAGGATCAACATTCGGAACCTGACACCTCGCGCACCTAGCCACGACATCCAACTCCACTGCCCCATCTCCCCTCTTCCCATCCTTACCCTTCCCTACAATGCGCACCACCTTCCACGAATCCTCCTCCCACGGCACATCCCCCGTAACCACAATATTCGGCCTAAACCTCTCAATAGTAATAGCCTCATTCCCACCCTTCACCAACCTCGCATTCAACTCCTCAATCGACGCCGCCGAAGCAATCAACACCGGATGCACATCCGGGAAATAAGTATCCTGTTCTCTACCCAGAATCTCGGGGGCGCCGTTCCCGCGCAAAATGCGGCGCTCAGGGCCCTTATATACTAGCTTAACCTCTCGGCCGAGAAACTCACTGAAAAAGGCGTTGACGTCAGGTCCGTACGCATACGCATCCGTTACTGTGTCCCAGATCGTGACGTGTTCGAGGGTAGTATGTTGCGCGAGCCAATCGGGGGTAGGGTTTGTCGGGAGGGAGATTTCCTTGTCCTTGGAGAAGGAAGGGATGGAGATGAGCAGGTGGGAGGAGTCCGCGGAAAGGGCTGTGGTGATGAGCGTCATGCGCGAGTCTTGTCGGATGGTGAGGAATTGGTTGGTTTTTGCGTCGATGAACATCCAGCGGCGGTCGAGGGAGAGGCCGTGCTTGTGTAAGGTTGTCTGGGGGAGACGGATCCCTCGGCATGATTTAATGGGGTAGATGTAGAGGGAGTGGATGGTGGTGGGTTTGGGGTGGTGGTGGCGGAGGAGGTTGAGGTTGTGTTTGAGGATGTGGGTGGCTTTGGGGGAGAGGAGGAAGGGGAGGAGGAGGATGGTGAGGGTGGTGAGGAGGAGGAAGGTGGGTGTTTCCATTGTGTGTACAGTTTATGTGCTTGTCAATTGCGTGTGGGTTGTTGGGGATTGTTTGGTGTTTTCATTGCTGTGTGAGTCAGTGTTTTGGAGATGGAGTGGAAGATGGAGAGACAAAGAAAGAGAGACAAAGAAAGTTGCGCAGGGAAATTGGCGATAAGAGCGATAAGATAACCGCAATATCCGCAACTGCCATTCTTATTCCACCAACGGGATATCAAATCGCATTGCGCTAACGGCCGCATACTTAGCTTAAGTTGAGCTTGTTCATATAGGGCGTGAGAATATAATCTAGATCGGTTCTATCTTACAAAAATACAATACCAGTAATTAGACGATGGTGATTATATACCGACAATCCTTATGCTCGAAATGTGCGGCGCTAGGTGTGATGCAATCATGACCATCAGGCGCCCACACGTATCCAATGATGCAAATATAACCAAAACTATACTAATCAGATAGAACCACCGATAAACCAAAGCTGCTAGTAATCACTTAATGTCACAACTCCAAAATTTAGAAAGTTATTCAAATGCTAGGAATCGCTGTGTTGCTGCTCACTCCAGCTAGTCACAAGAGCCTTGATCAGCGCGACGGCAACCTCCTTGCCCGTCTCTATATCCTCATCCAAGCATGACGCAGGAACATGGAAGAAAGTAACATTGCGATCCTCATCCGCCTGGTACGCCAGTGCCAAGCTGGTGTACAGGATGAACTCGCAGAGATAGCGTCCAGCATCAGTGGAGACCCGCGCATCGGTTTCCGGAGGGCAAAAGGACTTCCATGCTGTTAGAAAGTCATCGTCTGGGGCCCGGGGGCTGAGGCGTTTCTTCTCCGAGGCGTGTCCCTCTGAAGGGCCAGCTTTAAGCACCAGTGGCAAGTCGAGCTCCCTCCATAGCTTCTCGCCATCCTCGTACCCGGATCTGCCCTTGATGTCAGACATCAAATACCCGTCACGGTGGGCCTGCGTCTCCACGGAATAGTAATTCCTCATTGCTGCTATGCCAATGTGAATAACAATGTCTGGACGTCGGCCCCCATGCGTCTTGGCATAGTCATCGAGAATGACAGGAAGTGTCGTTCGCACCGTAGAGTATGCAACGGGTATGGGTGAAGGATGGACGTTTATCGAAACCCGGTGGGAAACAGAGTCAGAGCCGTCTGAAGAGGCAGGTGAGAAGGTGAATGAGGGTGGTAGTGATGAGGCTATCAGATATGAGGCGTTCACTAGGTTAGACTTGAATGGCTGTAGAACATGTGAGTTGCGATCTTAGGAGAACGACATAGAAGCTGAAAGCTTACCCCAAAGCCTGTTACAAGAACTGAGATCTCATCCTGATCTGTACCAGAGATAGGCGGATTCCCAGGTGACTGTGCCGTGAGCGACGACACTCCGGGCCCGTAGTCTCCCATGATAAGCACTGACTATCCCTACAGAAGTACCGAGAAAGAATGTTGGGGTTAACAAAGGCCAGTCATCGAAGAAGAGCAGGTAGCAGCTAGAGAACTCGATCCGACCGGCTTCCAAGCCACCACGGTCCAGAAAGTTAAACCAGGCGATGAGGTTGTAATGAGAAAGGGACCGACCAGTTGGGTCTTGAAGGGCAGCTTTCCCCGCATTGTCTTGGCGTCACGAGATAAGGCTTCGTCGCATCGTGTCTTTCTCGCCGGCCGCAGTCTCTTTTCTTGCTTCCGTGCCTCCCTAAGTCTTCATTGTTCTTCTCTTCGACGATGAGGGTGTCTGCAAACTCATTCTACGGCCATCGTTAGCAGTTGTTTGGATGCCATTCATCACCAACGACTTTCCGTATATGGGCCGGTCGCGGTTGATCACCCGCACTTAGTTTCTGGTCCCTCTGAATGGCCCACGGTCTGGATTGACTTGTGTGACTGGAATAGACTCATAATGATGCACTCACGAGAACACAGACACAACAAAGACACAGCACATACCCTCCGATCCTTGAGCTAAATTATTTCTGGTCAGTACTTTGCGGTTCAGCGAAGACATAAGGTGTTCAGGCATCCCCCGCGATACGCCAATACGTGGTCCGAATATGGTTTAGCGTATCCCCGGATGGAGGCAAACGAAGAAACGAATAAACGAATAAACAAATCGAAGCATCTGACGATGAAGTGGAATGGCATTTGACTAACCAGATGAGAACAGGTCGCAGTCTCACATAAAGCACAGCCATGATTTATGCTTACCATGGAGCAGGCTAGACCAGCCGGCTGATTCTGACTATGTTTGTGCCGTATTCCGTCGCAAAGCGAACGTATTCCAACCACGATACGACGGGGGTTCCCAACCGACATTCCTCCTTGGGTAACCTTTGTGTCAATCACAACTCGGCGAAAGGGAGACCCGATATTCATCCCTCGTCCTGAGTCGCCCAGATGGTTCATTCCCTCCGGCCCACCCTGTTGCTGTCAATGAGCGGCTTTTCATTTCACACCCGATCCTCCCGTCGTATTAGGCGTATTCGATGATCCATCCTCATAGACAAGGATGGAGTGGAGACAAGGCATCTGGGAACTCGGTTGTTTCAAAAGTATATATTCGTATAAGTAGTCGGGCGGTTCCAACACCAATTTCTATTCTGGCCCCTCTTTTTTATGATTTTCACAGCGCCTTTCGCTACCCACTCCGGCCATGGCAGTCATCCTTGAGGTCCTCGATAACCAACACCTCTTGCAGGGGGTCGTACTGGCCTTAGTTTTGGTCTTTGTTTCCAGCTTCTACCATGAACTAGCAGATAGTTTTCCATACAAGAATATTCCTCTAATTGGCAAAAGCAAATGGGAAATCACAAACACAAAAGCCAAGCAACGATTTGTTACGTCTGCAAAGGAGCTCTTCGCTGAGGGTTTCAGTCAGGTATGGATTAAAGTGCGCTGACAACGCATTAGCGGCGGAAGCTAATATATCTGCAGGGTAGAAAGTCGTTCCAGGTTGTTTTCTCCGCTAGGCCAACGATTGTCCTTCATCCAAGCCTAGTGGACGAAGTTAAGAACCATCCACTTCTTGACTTCAATGAAGCAAATAAGAAGGTATGTACCACTCACTAGTGGGTATGTACACGAAGAATACTGACATCTGGGCAGAGCTTTTTTGGATCCAAGATCCCAGGATTTGAGCCGTTCGATGGATTAGATCACGAGGGCATATTCCTTGAAGTGATCAATAAGAAGATTACTCAAGGGCTTGGTAAGATGACTCGGTGCGAACGATGTTAAGCAGAACACTGACTTCCTTGCAGGGCAACTGATCACTCCACTATCAAGAGAGACAGCTACAGTCATGAATGAAAAGCTTCCGGACACTGGGGGTACGTGACTCACATCCATTGATGATAGTCGACCTTCTAACGAGTTATAGAATGGCTCTCCTTCAACTTTGCACAGGAAATTCCCCATATTGTAGCTCGCCTGTCCTCTCTTGTGTTTCTGGGTGAGAAAATCTGTCGCGACAAGCAGTGGTTGGACGTTTCCGTCAACTATACCATTCACGCTTTCGTTGCTGCTCGTGACCTCAGACTTTACCCTTCAATCCTCCGTCCTTTTGTCCACTGGTTCCTGTCGTCGACTCGTGAGACCCGGAAAGACATTCGCATCGCTTCCGGCATCATCAACCGTGAGATGGAAAAGCGGAAACTCATCCGGGAAGGCAAGCTCCCTGAAGAGGACCCTCCGAGGACGCACGCCGATACGTTGGACTGGTTTGAGGAGGTTGCTGCTGGCCGGCCGATAGACATCGCTGTTGCCCAGGTCGGCCTTTCCCTAGCGGCGATCCACACGACTTCTAACCTCCTCACGAACATTATGTACGACTTGACAGCCTACCCGGAGCACATCCAGCCACTGAGAGACGAGATCATTGCTATCGTTCGCGAAGACGGAGGATTGAAGAAGACCAGCTTGACCAAGATGAAACTGATGGATAGTGTACTGAAGGAATCCCAGCGAATGCACGCCGCCGGCATTGGTAAGCACCCAGTCCAGCCCGCTTGAAGCCTCAACAAGGGCTCTTCTGACATACAAGTACAGCCTTCCTCAACCGCCTCGCTATGGGAGATATTATGCTGTCCGACGGCACCCGCATCCCCAAGGGCGCCAGCGTAGCAGTTTCGGCGCACAACATGGAGGATGAAACCCTCTACCCGAACGCGAAGACGTACGATGGCTTCCGATTCTACAAGAAGCGTCAAGAACCCGGCAACGAGCACCGATTCCAGTTCGTGACCACCAGCCCGGAACATCTCGGCTTCGGACACGGCATGCATGCATGCCCGGGACGCTTTTTCGCCTCGAACGAAGTGAAGATTCTCCTCATCCACTTCCTCATGAGATACGACTGGAAGTTCGCCGATGGCTGCACAACGCGACCGATGAACTTTATGCACGGAACAGAGTCAATTTGCGATCCGACCGTGGAATTCCTATTCAAGCCCCGACAGCCAGAGGTTGATCTGTCGTGATCCGTCCTTCTTCTTTAAGCCTGTATATACCAAATCGACCAGTACAGCGTACTGTGTACATACTAGACTGCCTAAATCCCGATCAACTCGATCAACCAATCAGAACCACATACAAAGATCAAACCAAATCTAAGACATATCTCAGCAGATCACGTCGCCTTATGACATGATTTGTTTTGCTTTTGTTGTTCTTTCCAACGGCGTCTCCACATGCATCCAAGACAAGTCAGTCATATGCAACGAGGCCACGAAAAAAACCAGTTTCGAAGCAAGGGATGAATGTGGCGACGCTGACGAGAATAATACCGCACCAGATACAAACCGGTTCTATTCTTCACACATACACTAACTGCATTCTGAGCTTGTGATTCGATTTCATTCGTCACACTTTATTCTATCATGTATTCGTAAGATGGTTGTGGCGAGTGTCTAGTTGCAGAATGAATCATGCTCAGATACCTATCTAGGCGGGAAGGTTTCCAGAATTCGTTCAAGGCTGTTTGTTTTTGTCTTACCTGTAATTCCTAAATAGGTAAGCAGTAAAGCAAGAAAAGAACATGAACCACTGCACTGCATTATCTGCAGGTGCAGGTGCAGGTAAGTAGGCTAGACCGCTTACGTGGGGAGATACTAGCTAATCTAATAGTATTGAGTAATTATAGTTCGATGTGTGGGTAGTATGTTGTGTATTCCATACGGGGCACAATAGTGCATAGTGCAGATGCGCATACGCGGTAAGGAGATTGCGGTGTAGGACTGGGTCATGGAAGTAACTTGCCTTCACTTGATCCTTAGGGCTGGTTGATGATGATGTGGGAATAGGAATTTGAGGGTGTCATTATAATCCCAATAGTCAGTTATTATGATAGTGGATGGCTGCTAGATAATTGAATAATTTGGGAGATGACATGAATAGTAGCATACATACATAAAATTTCTATAATAATTGAGAGTTACCTATATTATCTAGAAATAAATCTATCAAATATACACGAAAATATATACAGTTTAGTTATTCTACCAAGCCCTCTCAACAAAAGATCTAACTAAATCAACGTTCCGACCCCTGATCCTAGATAAACCACACCCATGAACCATGGATCCAGCAAAAATCAAGCTTACTTCAATCCTAGCCCAACCAACAACCACAGTTCAATAGTGCCCCGTGCTGCGGAGTGGTTCCCAGTCCCAAATCAGCTAGCTACCTACCTACCTAACTTTCCCCTGGATCGTATTTCCTGCCTGTTAACCGTTAACACAAATTAGAGTAGCATACAGTATAAGCACAAGCAAGCAAGTACTGCGCACGCCAGTGTACGGATATGTCGAGCATGGTTATCTTCAATGTTAACTTTTTTTTTTGTTGGGGTTGGAATGTACATATGACTCCATACTTTTGTTCTAGTAATTGTTTAGGTATTGCATGGTATGGAAAGACTATAGTCTAGATTGGGAGTAGGTGGGTATCCGTAGGTAGTAGGATTTACTGCTGTGAACGAGCTATTCACAAATAATCTGGGGTATGAATACTTGCTTGTTTGCTGGGATAGGTAGTAGTACTACTGTAGTTGATTTGCACTGCCATTTTAGTACTGTCCATAGAAAAATAAGAAGGCTGGGACGGTCATTGTTATTAGTGACCCCAAACGGCAGTTACCATAGTACTTACCACCATCATGCAATCAAAAGCATCGGGATTTAGTTATGTCCGCGATGAATCGTACAAAGTACTAATATCCACTTTGATCAATCCATCCTAACGTGTCCCACACTATCAACATCAATTTATAGCATAGTGAAAAGCTATATCAAGGGCTACACCATAAAAGGCAACAACTCCATCGTTCAGTACCAAAAATAACGGAATTTGTGCTATAATTATAATATCATCGATGCTTTCTAAAATTTCTGTCCGTGTTGTCTCCATCCCCAGCCATCTGAATTACTATTTCTAGGTTGCTTGATGGAGTTAGAACTAAACGGTAGATTAGTAGTAAACTATCAGTAGTGTGGTCTAAAGTATAGCACGACGATACTAAAAAAGTATGGATTAGCCAGGAACAACTATGGAACCTTCCCCGGCGCAGGCAGGCAGGCAGATTTGCGCTAGTAAATCCAAAACAGGCGGTCGCGGGCGCTGAGTGGTAGGAACCGCGGCGAATACAGTCAGTTACCAGACGCGCGGATGCGCGTGTCAGGACGCGTTAAAGTCGCGTTTACCCCGCCCTTGACGCGTTCATTGGGGGAGACGAATGGCGATAAGCGAATTGATTGACATGAACGTGCAGAGGTGTGCTTCAATAGTAGGTGCCGTGCCGTGCCCGGTTTGGCTTTGTTGCGGGAATATAGTACTAGATCTCTTTCATGAAGGAGGGAGAATATGGCATTGAGAGATAGAAGACTAAGACTACGGGAGTATATAGCAGTGTACTGGGACCACTTTGTGGATTGAGGTCGTAAAGAATATTCCACTCCATGACTCTTCTTTCCTTTGTTTCGATCATTCTCGGGCCGTCCGCGAGGCGTGGTGCCTTTTTCCAATTCCATGCCCAAGCTGCAGTGGGCAAGATACTACTGGTTGATGGGCGGTGGGTGCTGATGCATGCCCAGTGCGTCGGGGTTCGATTCGTTCCCAGGCGGTGGAGAACCGCTTCTGCAGGTGACTGGAGTTCATGACCATGATCAATTTGATCGAGGTACTCACTCGAGGCCACCTTGCTGAAAGCACCGATGGGACGCCCCCGAATTCCTGGTTCGCCAACATTGTTGATTGGGGGGCGGGAGAGAAATCATTTTTTATTCTTTATTTTTTTATTCAATTATTTTTTTTCTATCACCTCCCTCCCAGCCACCGGGATGATTTGGATCACACGGTCCCGTCATGGGTGGAAGTCGGTCTTGCTCGCTAGAGAACGTTGCGTGTAGATCGATGGGGCCACACATAAATGAAAAAGGATCAGGTAGGTCACTTTTCCCTCCTATCCTTGGAGGTGAGATTGCTGCTTAGTGTGCTGGTGCTACCGGGTGCACGGGAATTGTGATGAATCCCAAGGCAATGGAGAGAAATTATTGGCGAGGATGGTCAATGATCAAGTGAGCCATCTGAACTCGGTCTGCATTGAGGATACCTTTCTCGGTACCCTTGCAGTTGAAGGAGAGGGAGGGGGAACGCAACGTTGCAAGTATAGTAACTCACGGATGAACGAGGCACAGCCCAGTCTAATTGATCTAGACTGGAAAGCTAAGCTATTACTGTTCTGGATCGCAGGTCCTGCAGCCCGTGCAAAAGGTACGGCAGACTGATGAGTCTAGTGTGTCTCCATATAAAGAGATTAATTATGATGATTCTGGACTACCTTGTTGGGGCCACTGGGGCGACTCCATCAGGATGGCTGCCATTTGTCAACGGGCTGCAGGCGTGAATCCTCTGCCCGTCCCGAGGGATCGTTGGGCAACGCGGTGAGGCGGTTAGAGGGATGCTGCACTTACTATGGACCAGCCCCCGAGAATGAGAGGGAGAGAAAAGGTGTGTGCGAGTGAGTTTGACGGCCATTGTGTGAGTGCCCCAAGGTTCTTAATCTGGATGGATAGGATAGAAGAGTACTACTGGTTAGTCTCTTTATTCCAGGTTGAACCAACGTTGGCCAGAAAACAGGTAAAAATGACAGAAAAAAAAAAAAAAAAAAAAAAGAAAGGAGGAAGCGAGGGAATGAAATTGGAGGAAGAATTCAGAAAAGAAAAATTATAATAGAAAAAAGAAATAGCTGCATGAAAAAAATAAAAAAAAAAAGAAGGCAGAGAGAATGCAGCTGAGTGGCTCACGAGGAAACGCAGCATATCGACTTTCTCCGCATTCCTGAGCAGTCGCGACTCTCCAATTGCCCTATCTGGTTTTCCTTTTTCGAAATTTTCCCAATTTTTCTGACCAATTAATTGTTTTTCTTCAGGATTGATTAATGATCGATTATGATGGCAATTGGCAGCTGTGGCATTTGAGAATGATCATGGTTGAGAGTGTGTCATCCCCAACCTATTAACGAACATCATGACAACGTTCTCGATTAGCGAGAATAGGAAAGGTTGCCCGTGAACAGCGCACCGGCGAGGCCACTTGGTGCCCTGATGGGCTTGACGTGGTGATCTCCGGGCCTGCTGGAAGGGCAAAAAAAGGTGGAGCCAGAAGGAAGTTGACTAGTAGTTCGTCCCTGTCGCGGCCACCGAGCAGACCACAGCAAAGTTCCGCTACCCAAAAGGCGCTGGTTAACAGTTCAGTTTAATTAGTTACTTAGCAGTTGGATGCTGGGAGGTTTAGTGAGTGTTCGCGGCTTCTTGCGCCTACCGCTTCCCTTTCCCTTCCCCCCCCCCCCTCGGCTGTCTCATCCTCTCGCTCTTCCTCTTCTAATTATTCTCTTCTTCCCTCCACCCCCCCCCGTTTATTTCCTTTCCCTCCGTTACTTCCCTACATCCCACCCCCTTCTTTCTCGACAGCCACGTTGTCGCTTCTCCTTTTTTCTCCGATCGAGCTTGTCGCTCGTCATCGACCATCCCTTCCGTTTCCTTTTCCTTTTCTTTTGTGTTGGTCTGGCGTGTTCGTGTGCCAATGTCGGCTCCCCATCTTCTATAGTTCCCTCCTCTGGGGTACCCGTTCGATGTGATCCTCTCGCAATTCCACCCCCAAAGCGCATCGCTGCACAACATCGTTGCGCGTCACATCGAATAACATACGAATTCGATCGCTTTCGCCCATCCGACCACTCACACCTCGACGTGTTTTTCCTTTTCTTGTTTTGTTCCCCTCAACTCCTGTTACGACTCACGACCCCCATAAACCCTAAGCGCGCCTTGTCGACGACCTTTCTTCGGAGTTCGATCACAGACGTTGCACCATTGACTGAAACGGATTTCTTTACTTCTATTGCTCTTGGATTTCTTTCCCCCCTTACTCTTTCATAGTTGAGTTTGGTTGTTCTCTGAATACCGTGCGCGCGCTTCACTCGAATTGGACAATATCGTGCGATCTAGGCTATCGCCATCCGCGCTTATTTTGGAACGTCAGGCACCAGTTCTCGCATCGCTCTCGAGGTTCGCGACATGACAGTGGTATAGGAAAGTTGCATCAAATTGTCAAGATAACGCACTTACCTCTTACCACTGGTCCCCGTCTCAGCTAGCAAACCGTCGTTGAACCGATACGGGACTACACATCATGGCTTGTCGACCACACGGCCTATCGCGCACCCTGCCGAAGAACTTCACCTTTTCTTCGTCGGGTGAGCCTCGCACACCAGAGCGCGTTTCACATCACCTGGATGTGCCACCGCCTCCCCCTCGTCATTCCAGTTGCCGCTTACGTAGGTCCCGCGTCCGCTCGGGGACCGATGTCTTTGCGCAGGCCGAATATGACCTCAGCACGTTCAACCCGAACCCATCCGATGTCCCTATACCTTCGATTGAAGTCCCCTCTTACGACGCTTTCGCGGGCCCCTCGTGTCCAGCAGTACCCTCCCGCGATGACCGTTTCTTAGCGCCGCCCCGGGATCGCCTGGCCATGAAGACCCCTCCCGCTCAGATTCGCCCCGACCCGATCGAGGATAAAAGTACCGGATCGTGGTCTCTGGAGGACCCGCAGGCCCTGGGAGAGAGTATCCAACGACCGAGTTCCGTTTGCTCGCAAGCATCGGATTCATCCGTCTCCTCGATAGAAACGTTTGGCTCCCGGCGCTCAGCGGGTGGAAGTTGTACCAGCATGGAGAGCGATTCATACGACCCGTTCTTCCACCTGGAGCTTCCACCAAAGCCGGCTCCGGAGACGCCCTCTCTATGTCGGACGCGCAAGAATAAGACACGGATGCTGCATGCTAAGGAACGATGGACCCTGGACATGGACAACCATCTATGGAACACTTACCAGCTCTACATCCAAGACCCTACCATTACCCCTTTCAAAATGACTCCGGGCAGCATTCCGCCGCTTGGCGTCACTCACCGTGTTGCCCGGGAGGCCAAGCGGATGTGGGAGAGAAGGCGCTTTAGACTCGACCGACAGTTTCCCTTCACGCTCTCCTACCAACGTCCATCTAGCAACTCTACTCCCACCCCCAAGGTGGATGCGGTGAAGCCTACCTGGCCTAAGTCAGAAGCATCGACGCGGCGCAGGCTAAAACTACTGTGTAGAAAGAAGTTCTCGATTGCTCCCCACTACCAGAGAATGATGCAATCCCGGAGTCCGACGCCAGCCCTGGACTTGTTGTCCCAGCCGTCTGGTGAACCCCCCAGGGCTGTCGGTCCTCCTAGTAGCTGCACAGCCTATGCGACGCGCGATCTGGGTGTGTCTCTTGTTTCCAGCTCTGTACCTGGGCCTTTGGCTCAGCTGGCAGCGGAAGACTCTTCGCCTCCAGAGATGAACAGCGAATGGTTCAATAATCCCATACTTAGTGCGCCTCGCCAAGTCATCCCGGAGCCACCTGCAATACATCCTGGTAGTGCCCCTAGACAAGAGCCCGTGCCACGGCTAGGATCGCCATTTACGTATAACACCTGGGGACCCAATGCCTCGAGAAAGCGATCTCAGCGTCATACCCCTAGGGCTCGGCGAGAAACCATCCATGTAACGGGCTCCCGGCTGCGTTCTCCGCCCCGCATGGAGCCATTCGCGAACGTCGACCATCATCACCTGGCTTCTTACGTGGCCACTGCCAGCGAATCGCCAGCAGAACAAGATACGCGGGTGCAATTAGAAGACCTTGTCCGTCAAGGAAAGCTCAGTGATTTAGGTCAGCATCGCATACGCATTCGCAACCGCGGAGCCACGATAAGTTCAGTGAACCACAAAGGTCTTGACCAGTTGTTCTCCCCACCATCGTCGTCCTCTCGGAACGACGAAGATCCCATGGTCGGGAAGCCCATCGCCAATCCTATGCTGAATCTCGGTGGCGACAGTATCAAGCGCTTGGGCTCCCCATTTAAGGTAGAAACGCCCAAACGAGTTCCGCCGTCACCGAGACGCATTCGACACGCACCGTCGCTTTCGGATCCGTTCGCAAGCGGGCTTTTACCACAATTCCAGCCGACGAGTCCGAACAGTCAATTGAGGAACGAAGAAAAGACTAGTCGGCTCCCTTACGATCCGACAGAACAAGGCATTTCCGATGCGGAGCGCATTCGGAGGCAAATCCTGAACATGCCGTACTCGAGGCAGTAGATTGCATATTGCATTGTTAGAACTCTGTTTCACCATGTGTCAACGTCACATCGATCTACTACACTAATGACCGGGATGATTTACCGTGATCTTGATCGCATTTTGATCAAAGGATATAATGACAGAAACGGCATTGACGAATTGATGACTTTTTAGCCCTTGCTTCTCTCGCGCTGAGCCATTGCATTTGTTGAGAAGCAACATTGCGTGATAGGCGCAAGAGAGCAGGCCACAATAACGAAAAACAAAAAAAGTGTTTTGAAGTTGCTTCTACATGCATACGTTGCTTTTCAGCGGTTCAGCTGTACACCACGGTGCTTAAAGGTGTACGAACCAGATTTCCAACCGCGACTCATTCAACCGAACTGGACCGTCGTTAATTACGCAGTGTTCTTGTTCTCCTCTCTACTCTTGACCCATACAGCATGTTTGTCGGCACACTCTCCGGGGCATTTGAGAAATCGCAAACGACAAAAAGACCTTCCCTGTCAGGGGAGTGTTTCACAGACACGTTGATGGTCATTACACTCTCTGATTTTCCTTATCTTTTATCTCAACATACCGAACTCCATACACTCTTTGAACAAACATCGACAGTATCACAAACAGTGCCAGAAACACCGAAAACCGAAAAACCTACAAAACAAACCAACTCTGGCAACCCACTATCTTTCAATCTCTTTTCATCTCTTTATCTCTTTCTCATATCTTCCCATCGAATTTGAACACTTAACATTACCGTGCGATCCGTCTTTGATCTTGATGAACCTTTCGCATGCCCCTTTAGCATGCGCAGTGATGATTGGAATGGAGAGACGCCGCTATTGAATGAATGACTCATAGATGAAACGAATCCGCACGACTTGGCAGCTGCTTAGTGATAACGTCTTATGGAAAGCGCCCCATTGTCTTTGCAGCGTTTAGCTTACAGTTTCAGCCTTGCTTTAACTGACATTTTTCTTCGAACTTGCTTCATGTTCGTCCTACTTACTGACTGACCATTACTTACATTGTTGTCTGTCTATCTGTTTAGCATGTCTTGCTCCAGTCAAGCATGTGTTTATTGGCTTTCAACTTGTCTACATCTCTCATTATGTCTCTTACTATCTCTATTTTTTCAAAGAATACATTTCTTCTTTCTTTAACAATATGTAAAACTATTGACTGTGGTTGCATTGTAGCTCGGCTGTTAGTATAGCATTTTCAAATCGATCTTGAACAATAGCTCATTATGGATATGGATAATGGTATTGAAGCAATCATAATAAGCAGAACTGGTATGATCCAATGAGCCCGAGTGAACGAAACAATACTCGCCTAGAGCATACATACCATACCACCTAATCCCATTAGCAACTGCCTATAATAGACATGCTAGCGCATTCCCTGCACTGTCTCTTCATATCTATCTTTATCACGGGACTGTCCTTCGTCCCTGTAACAACTCATTCTGGTCTAACTAATCACTCCGTAAAACCGCTGCCAAGACTTCCTCTCCTAGCTCAGATGAACTCAACCCTAACACAATCAACTCTCAAAATACTAGGACAAACTACCGTGTTGAATGTGCTTTGTATGTGTAACTGCAGTATGTATTCAGATCAAAGTCCACTGAAATATAGTAACAGACAATAAGAACAAGGAAATAAGTACATATGTGTAAATGTGAAACAACAACCCAAACGCCAACGCTGCAACTAACACAAAGAAAAGGAAAAAAGACAAGAGGGGGTATAAAGTGCGTACGTACGTGTCACGTGCATCGTCGAGTGGGGGATGATGGATTATTAGTGAAGGGACAAAGAGGGAAGGGGGAGAGTGTAGGGCTGGTTGTAAGGGGAACAAAGGAGGGGTCAGAACTGAAGTGTAAAGAAGGCGAACAAAGGCTAAAGAAGCATTAGAATTAACACTTCTCTAACCGCTTCCTCCTCTCCGCATAAATAGCCTCTAATTTCCGGATTTGCAATCCAAGACCCTTCTTCTCTGCATTAGCGAAGAGCCAAGCTTCCATTCTCTCGCGGAGATGTCTCATGGAGTTTGTCACGGGGAGGATAGGTCCGTTCTCACTGGCCATAGCGGCAGGGTTCTGGCCTTCGCGTTCCAGTTGAGCCCATCTCTCCTCGCCGGGGTTGAGGAGGAGATCGAAGACGTCGTTCCAGATGTCGCGCTCCCAGTAGCGTTTCAGAGACTCGCGGATTCGGTATGTCTTTGTCTTCGGGGTATTGCCGCTGGGGATGGACTCGAGGTACTTTCCGAAGAGCATGACGTGAATGGTGCCTGCTAGGCCGTAGAGGTCGATTTGGTGCGTCCAGGGTCGCTTCTCGCGGATCTCGTTGCACTCGTGCTTGCCGGTTTCCCAGTCGGCGACGAATTGGACGGATGGTTGGAAGACTTGCATGTCGATACTGCGGCCGAAGTCGATCAATGAGAGACCCTTGTTGCGCCAGCCGTGGAGGCCCCGGGGGGAGTAGTGAATTTCGCGTGGGTCTGCGGTGATCTCGTTGCCTAGGTCGATCAGGGAGGGAGGTGGGACGGGTTTGTCGTCGAGGCGGACGAGGCAGTTGTCGGCTTTGATGTCGCCGTGTAAGATGCCACAGGAGTGAAGGGATTCGACGATACGGAAGAGCTCTACTGTGAAGAACATGGCCAGGACTTCGTCTATTCCACCTTCGGCATTGGTGGTGGCTGAGATCGGCTCGTTACGGATGAGGTTCACGAGATCGAGCAATGTTCCTTGTCCACGGTAATCTTCGACCAGGATGCTTTCTCCTTTGTAGACGTGAAGCTCGTGTGCGCGGATGATACTTTCAGTGGCGCGGGAGTATTCGGGATGCTGGCTCAATCGTTCGTTTGCCGTGCGGATCATGTAGAACTCCCACTCACTGGGTGGTCCTACCTCCAGTTTGATCGCTTCGAAGCCGTGACGGGGTGTGTCATATCGAATGGGTCTAGGCTTGTGGGAATCTCTGTTGTTGGAGTCGGTTTCCGAGTCGGAAGGTAGACTGTCGATGCTCTCTGCAAAATAGACCGGCGCATAAGCACCTGCACCGAGCTCACGCCTGATGATATAGCTTCTCTCAGCACCTGAAAGTTCAAGGATGGGAACATCGAAAGATGCCTCATCCCCGCTTCTTGAACGCTTTGGGCTTGTCTTGAGGTATCGCTGTATATCAGAGCCATAGTGAGTGTTCATGTCCGGGTGGCCGTGGTAGCCAGGGTACGATGCCAGCGGAGGCTGCAATGACCGAAGAATCGTGTTACGAATATCCCTGTCAGTGGGGTTGCACAGCTCATCCTTGATAACTACTCCTGTTTGAGTGATTTCCTTCAGGGGGCTCAATTTGAAGCTTGTTCGAAACTTCTCCATCGTGGGGCTGAGAGCAACGTCTTCAGGAATATCAGGAAAGTCATCGTGGTGAGGAGTGGCAGGAATCAACGGGCTCGACAACAAGAGATTGCCCATCGGGGGCTTCGACGGCGTCTTCGCATTATAGAGGCTGTTTCTCGCTGCTGTCATAGACAAAGAATGTTCGGTCTGTTCAACGATTGGTGTCATGAAAGGCAGGCGATTTTGAGCCATGATTGCGGGGTCTCGATAAGGGCCATAGGGTGGATTGTAATCTTCGGGCATTTGGGGGACAAATCGCTGCCTCTCGCCATTTTCATCTGCATCATCGAACTGCTCTGTGTTATCTCTGCCATGGTATGTGGAGTCCTCCGGCATGGCAGGTGAATGAGCAGCGCTCAGATTCGGCACATCACAGGCTGAGAACTGCGTCCACTCTCCATCTGCCACACTCTCAGCGCGAGTGTTATCTTCGAATCCATCCTCGTCACCTTCGACAAACGACTTATGAAAGGTTGTATCATCATCGCCGAAGTCGCTTGATGCAGCAGACATGCGACCAGTGACCGTGCTCTCTCCAGCGCTCGTATAGTCATCGTCATCGAAGTCACTACTCTCCGCATTCTCGGTCTCTGCTTTGAGTGGCTGATTGAAAATGCTATAGATCTCGTCTGTTGCAGCGCGGGTGTGTATAGTCATGGTTGGCTCCGCAGTGCTCTTGCGGCGAATCTTGCCTCCAGTGGGCGAATCAAATTTCATTTTGACTTCAATTGGATTAGTACACAAGACAGTGAATGAAAGAGCTTTAAGTACGAAATGAGTCAAAGTAGATACTTACTCGTCTGTGTTTCTCCCTTCACTTCACGAAGCTTCAACTTCCGCGCTTTGTTGGTTTTGCTTTCCTGGGCCGAATTTCCCCGTTCAGGGTCGTGGGTCTCTGCATCTTTGACGGTCAACTTCTGCTTAAACTGTTGTGGAAGTTCATTCTCAAGGCCATGCTCAAGGGGATTCTCGGTGGGAATCTCCGCAGAAGCAGCATTGCCTGAGATCTGCTTGAGGGGCTCTTTGTGGGCCCGCCAGTTCTTGCCCATCCAGCCACGGCTGATAGCTCTAAGTTCCTCGAAGCTCACTTCATGATTTGGGTTCTTGTAGTCTGGGTATACTGCTTCAAGATTGACGAAGACGCGCTCCCGTCTCCCAGTACGTGGGTTAACCGCTTCCCTTACGCGATGCTCTGGAACATGTTTCGTTTGCAATGCTTCTTTTGCTTGTAAATTTGAATTTGACTGAATACATAAATCGTAAACCAATGCGGTTCATGCCACCAATTAGTCCTGTGATCGTAAATATACGGAAATCAGAAAGAGTAGGTAAAATAACCTGAACTTACCTCATCCCTGAAAATCGTCATCTTCTGTGCCGGTGCCGGCTTCTTCCCCGCCTTCAAAGTCTCTCCTGCCCATGGCTTTGCCTCAACCTTGTTCTCCTTCCGTCGGTCATGCATCGATCCAATGCTGTCCCACCCTTGTGCCGGCGCACTGACAGCTGGTTGGCTGGGTGAATCGGCATCGGAAAAGATCGCCATCTTCGGCTTGCCGGATTTCGTCTTCGGGGCAGCGCTGCGGGCGGGTGCTGGGCGCTGGGCCTGGGGATCGGCTTCTTCCGCAGAAGCCGAAGCGAAGGGGTCGACCTTGGCAGCCAATGCTGGGCGCACAGCCGGTAGTGCAGGCGATGAGGGGCCATTGTCCTGTGTGTGGTTTTCGTAGCGGTGCTGGAACTCGCTGTATTTGCGCACAAGTCGTTCTGCGGGGCGCGCTTCCTTGTCAATGCCAAGCCGGTACACCTCGTCGGCCTGTGTCCATCTTCCTGCACTTTCCAGCCAAGCCGCAAATTCTTCGTAGAACAATGCGAGTCCTTCTCCGATGCGGTGGCGTGCCAGAAAAGCGAATGTCTCCCGCGGTGAGTCGGAGAAGAGTCTGATGTAGTGGAGCCACAGGCGCAGGTAACGGGGGTCGTTCTTATAATGAGGGGAGTTGAGGAAATGTTTCACGGCACGCTCCAGGAGGGGCAGAAGGCCGGACTCAGTTGTAGCCTGGGCGGTAGGATAAGCATTCAGCGTCCATTTCACATATCGGTCGTAAATATCCAGCGGGTCGTCGGATTCTCCTATGGCCTGTAATTCTGTTTCGTATTCCTGGCGGATGCCATCATTCACTGTGCGGGTATCATTTGGCGACGGAGTAGCCAAGATATCTGTAGACTCGCGCGGAGAGAAGATGCGAGCCAACTCTCTTGCTGATCGGCCTCCTGGTAGCGACTGAATGTTCTCCTTCTGGCCTTCGATGATGTCGAAGTTGACGTGGTCTTCGTTGGCCGCCATTGCGGCGACAGGTAGAGATGAAATATAGATCAGAACGAGGGGCGTGAAGTTTGGTTATTGATCGGCCGTAGTAATTTTGCGATGATAGCGGTGAGGATGTCGAGGTGGTGGGCTGGCGAGATGAAGCAAAGGGACTCGAGGAGATTGAATGAATGGGATTGACCGACTCGGGCAGTTTATCGATAAACAGCCGCTAGTCCCACTGTGGCTCGTTACCTCGACGACCAGTCACATGGCCGCTAGCCCATATCGGGTAATATTCGCTGCCGCTGCTGCAGAGATGCTCATGATGCTCGTTGAGGACCAACCAATATTTATTAAGGAATATTTGTGACTCAAATCAGTTACTCATATACAAACACGTCTAATCATTTCATATCCCAGTCAATATAAAGCGTGGGAGGTCCGAATCAAGCAATCGCCTTAATCAAGCAATTCCCGCTCGCGTCGACCGCGTCAAACCGCCGGGCCGATCCTGCTGTCTTTCACGGCCCACCATCGCCTGCCATCCCACCATTCCAGAACGACTGACCAGATCGGGTGACTTCATTGTCCTTGAAGTGCCCAGACAAGTTGCGATGCCTCCGCGCGGTACCCGAAAAGCAGCCTCATCCGCAGTGGCGACTGAGCCGCCACGCTCCCCCGAACCGGGAGGCAACAAGCGCAAGCCAGACGACGCTCAGGAGCAGAGCTCCCCGCTACGAAGATCGAAGCGCGTTAAATCCGTCGAAGGTCTCGGAACGCAGTCGCCGTCTGGAAAATCCACTGCGCGCACAGCACCGACCGAATCTGCTGGGAGCCCCAAGGCGACACCGAGGAAATCTCGTGGTCGGGTCGTTTCGGTGAAGAAGGAGGTTGAGGAGGAAGAGACAGTCACGGTCGAGGCAGACATTGACGACGAAGACGAGGTCAAGGACGAAGAAGTGGATGAGAAGCCGAAGGTGAAGGCCAAAGTTACGAGGAAGAGAAAGACAAAGGAAGAAGTCGAGATGGTACCATTGAGGGCGCGCACGCAGGGTCTGCGCATGTGCGTAGGCGCTCATGTCAGCGCCGCCAAAGGTTGGCATTACTGAATACAATCATCCATGATATGATGCTTACGATGTGTTACAGGCGTCTTTAACGCGGTTCACAACAGCATGCACATCGGGTACGTCCACTCACCATCACAACCAACCATCACTAATCCCTCCCAGCGGCAACGCATTTGCCCTATTCCTCAAGTCCCAGCGGAAATGGGACAATCCAGCCCTCCAAGATGATCACCGCGACCAATTCCGCAATCTCTGCATCGAGCACAAATACGACGGCGCAAAGTGAGCCTATACCAATCAATCAGCCTATCTACCCACCCCAATCTAACCATACCAGACACATCCTCCCCCACGGCTCCTACCTCGTGAACCTAGCGCAAGAAGACAAGACCAAAGCCAAACAAGCATACGATTCATTCCTCGACGACCTCCGCCGCTGCGAAGCCCTCGGCATCACCCTCTACAACTTCCAGTACGCCCCCAACAACCCCACATCTACACCCTCTACCTCACCACCCTACCCAACTCCCAGAAGAACCCCCAACTAACTCCCCAACCCCACAGCCCCGGCAGCGCCAACCAAACCCCGCACGCCTCAGCCATAACCCGACTCGCAAAGGCCCTAACCTCCGCCCTCTCCGCCACCAGCACCGTGACCCCGGTCCTCGAAACCATGTGCGGCCACGGCAGCACAATAGGCGGCTACCTACACGAATTCCGAGACATCCTATCCCAAATCCCGCAAGAATACCACCACCGAATCGGCATCTGCATCGACACCTGCCACAGCTTCGCAGCGGGATACGACCTCACCTCCCCATCAGGCTTCGCCTCCTTCATGCAAGAATTCTCCGACGTAATCGGCCTCCAATACCTCCGCGCCCTGCACCTCAACGACTCGAAAGCGCCGCGGGGAAGTAAACGCGACTTACACGCCAACATCGGCACGGGATTCCTGGGTCTCCGCGCATTCCACAACGTCATGAACGAGCCGCGGCTCGAGGGATTACCCATGATCTTGGAGACGCCGATTGATCGACCCGAGGGAGAAGATATCAAGAAGGAAGGGGACGGGTCTTCCAAGGGTAAGAAAAAGAAACCGACTGGGGCTTCTGCGAAGCTAGTACCGGATTATAATGTGTGGGCGGGGGAAATCGCGCTGCTTGAGTCGTTGATTGGGATGGATCCGGAGGGAGAGGAGTTCCGGGCGTTGGAGGCGAAGTTGTCTGAGGAGGGGAGGGAGATGCGCGAGAAGCAGATGGAGCAGTATGAGCGAAAGATGGAGGCGGAGGCGAAGAAGGCGGCGAAGAAGGAGAAGGGGCAGAAGACGTTGATGGAGATGATGAATGGAGGTGGGAAGGCGAAGGGGAATACGAAAGCTACGAGGGGAAAGAAGGGGAAGGATGAGAGTGATGGGGAAGGGAGTGATGAGGAGGGGTGTCAAGAGTTGTTCGGAGAAATAGTACTACGTATGGAGTATTAAAATGTATGAACAGAATGATGTGTGAATGGTATATAATATTGGAGTAGAGTGTTCTACTTCGACATCGATATTACGTAGACTGCAATGCGATTAAGCTCCATTAGAGCTAAGAGATAGATAACATGGTATCACTCGATAAATCACTGTCTATACCAGACATCGTCTGCCAATATGTGCGGGACGCCCAATGTACTCCAGACATGCCAATTCATAGGCATGCTGATCAGAACCGCCGTTATTAAATGAAAAGGACCATCCAAATCAGAAACGTGCTGCGACCATCGACGAACTCGAACGCTGATGCCATGACGTTGTAGACCGAACAAAGGGGTCTTTGGTATCAAGAAAAGTAGGGAAGCAAAATCCAGGTCGAACCATACCGGTGGTCCCATGAACCATGGTGAAATGCGTGAAACAGCTATTCCAGAATTACTCGTCTAGCTAGCTGAGCGTCCTTCAGGTGAAGCCCGTTCTGGTGATGCCTGGGGCTTGCTACCGAGGCTAGGGCCGGAAGCTGTCCGGTTAAGCTCAGCTTCCAGGGAAGTGATGACTGGGGGCGCCGATTTCAAGGGCGAGGGGGCCGACACTCGCGGGGAGAAATTCCTATCGTGATCCCCGAGATTGGTGGTGTTGATGCTTAACCCGAGCGCATTGCTAGCGCCACTGGCACGAACACGGAATGAGCGCCGACCGCCAGCGGTCAAGTCATCCTCAGGAGTAATATTCACATTGTCCTCGTCGACATGAATGCCCGGAGATTGGAAAGTGCTCGTTTCAGGGTTGCGGATCCGACTGTACTCTCCGCGCTCCCCAGTCGGATCGGAATCGTCCTCAGAGTCCAGGTTAGGACTCCGTGTCCACGCGCCCTTCTGAGATTCTGAGCGCATTTTGGAGATCTTCATATAGTTGTAGGACGCGATGCTGCCAATGGTGACCACCAGGCCCGTAATGTTGACTGCAGTGAGCTGATCGTGGAAGATGACCCCGGCAGCACTGATGGTGACGACTTCCTTGAAGATGCCGCAAATGCTCAGCGTCACGACCGAGGAACGCTTGAGGAGCGCAAACTCAGAGGAAATCATGCAGAAAGCCAAGATACCAGGGAAGATCAGCAGGAAGACAGCAAACAGGCCTCCACGGGCAGCCGCCAGGGCTTGGAAGCCGGCGATGATCTCCAAAGGCCCCTCTACCGCCAGCGCAATGACGATCAGGGAGAAAAACATCACAGGCGTAAGGAAGAAGAGGGTCGAGAACGGGTTCGCCGTCGCAGGATGGCGTAGAAGGAGGATCTGCGTGAGGCCCCATCGGAAGCCCGAGAAGAAGGCGGATGCAATGACGAGGATAAACCCAACCGCATTGAAAGCGGTCTCGCCGGCGACCATCATGACCACACCGACGGTCATCGTAGCAATGATCACGATCAACTTGACGGATGGGGTTTCGAGGCGGAAAACAAAGGCAAAGAGAAGGACGAATGCTAGTGCGGATGATTTGCACATGGTGAGGAAGGTAAGGGAAATGAACTTCAGGGACATATTTCCTAGACCAATATCGAGGGAAGTCGCCGCACCGCAGGGGACGAGACGTGTAAGGTAGAATAACCGGGTGACCACCGGTCTGGACTCATGGGGGTCATGTTCGCTCACGGGCGAACCTGTAGGTGTGGATGCAACGGGCGCTTTCGGACGCAGGGAGGGTATCAAATATAGGAGAATGGATGAAAAGGTAAACTGAACGGCCATATGTAAGCTCGTGGTAAAGAGGGGGAAAGGAAAGACAACATCGTCATCGGAGAACATCCACTTGTTGTACTACCAAGACCGGCAGGGGTTAGCATGTGAGCCATGAAATCCGCGCACGGGAGCAACTCACAATTGAAATCGACAGCGAAAAGAAATACCACAGTAGGATCAAGCCCGCATTGATGGACAGCCTCCTGAAGACATCACTGTCTGTGAATCCAAAGGGTAATGTATCGTGCTTCGAGGCCTTGACGTCGGCGATGCGGGCATCCAACTGTCGACGCTGCTGCCTTCTGCGGCGCCTCTGGCGTCTCTGCTTCGCTGTGAGACCCGTTTCTTCGTCATCATGGAGGTCGTCGTCTGAGCTAATATAATCCATTTCCAAGCTCTCTGCGATCGAGGACAGGTCGGAGATGTCTGCGTCCTCAGCCGGCGAGGACTTGGGCTCCTCTCGTTTGGAGCCAGCAGCGTCTCCAATGGCCCTTGGGGTATCGTCCCGGTGTTCGATTGGAGCTGACTGTGAAGCGCCCGCTAGCACTGAGCTCCGCCGTCGATGATGATTGCCAGATGGGGAGACACCCATGGTCGGAGAGGGAGTGCCGTCGGGGCGGGACGGCGCACGATATAAGAGGGCGATAAGGAAAGGGAAAGGAGGGTAGTCGCTAGGATGGCGCGAGCCCCATCAGTGACGAAAGGTAGGACTAGGGTATGTGTCTCAAGTGGGCCAGCGCTGAGGGAGAATACTAGTTTTAGGACCGGAGAAGAGGGATTCGCGAGGGTGAAGAATGGCGAGGGGCACCGGATGCCCGAAGGAGAGTAATGAAGGAAAGCCGGTGAGGGAATTGACTGGTCTTAGTGGGGACGTTGACAAAAAGCTCACGCAGAAGAAGGCAAATCAGAGTCACGAGAGAGAAAAAGGAAAATGTCAAGGGAGGGTGTGTGTGTGTGTGGGAGAGATAGATAGGAGTGGCAGCAGGACAGCCCGAGCAGGAGGAGAAAGGATGGGGGATGCAAGGGCGACCGATGCACGAACGCCGTCCCCGTTGATAGCGGCAGAGAGAGACAGTGAGCCAGGAAGAGGCGGGATAAGCACGCGAAAGGAGGAAAAGAAAAACAGGATAGGGAAAAAAAAAAGAAATGAAAGGAGGGAAAAGAAGGAGGGATTCACACAACCAGTCAGCACAGCAGGATGAACCAGTTGAGACGGAGAAACAGAATGAGCATTTGGGAAAATGGGGAATTGGAATGGAATGGCAAAGGGAGAGAGAGGAAGAGGGAGTCAAGGCAGGCAGTCAGTCAGTCACAGTCTAAACAGTAGTAGTGCCAGTTTCAACCCAAAAGTGGATATTGGAAATATTGTTTTTCTCGCCAAGGGAAACAGAGAAATTCGAACAAGATTATTACTATTACAATAATAATCGTCAGAATAATAATAATAATATGGATGTTGTTGCCAACAGCCACAGCCTCTCCAACGTCATAGCGCGATAGTCCACTAGTTAGTAGGTAGTTAGTTAGTTAATCCTCTCCCCCTGGTCGATTAGGGATACGAGCATCACCTGGTGCTGAAGGTTAATAATCATGAAATAATGACAGAAAAGAAGGACCGTCCGAAAAAGGCCAGGCACAAGGATCCACCATCCATCCGCGTCTCAAAAAGAAGACTCAACCAAGGGCCCTTTGTTTTTCATCTTCTTGTCTTGTTTTGGCCCCTATTGAAATAATGCTGGTCTGGTCAAAGAATTGTGTACTACTACCACGGAGTACTCCTACTAACATTGTCAAATGATGCTGGATGTTCTGCTCAGCTCGACAAGTCACCAGCCAACCTTCCCAGATTCGGAGCGGGGATCCTCGTTTTCTAGATTCCTTCGGGTCTTTGGTCCCTTCCGGCCGATCCGGGGTCAGCATTAATTGCTTCCCTTGGAGTTTACTTGACTAACTCGATCATCATCCATGGCTGGCGATCGACTGGAGCTTTTCAGCTTCATCACTCGTGGAGACAATAGATCGATCGATCAACTGATACGGAGAAGATATGAGGGTTGAACAAGAACTACAACATCATCAATTCCCTCCTACGGGTAGCAAGAAAGAGAGGGATCAAACCAGCATCTCCTCACGCGATCAGGCAGCAGCAGCAGCAGCAGCAGCAGCAACCCGCGGATAGCCGATGGTTGTTGGCAAGTCAGAGTACTATTTAGTAAGTAACAGTAGACATGTAGTGAAACATCCACCACCTCAACTACTAGGTTACTGATGTCTACACTGGTCGACAACTATTTCCGACCGTAAGAAAAAAAAAAAAAAGAAGAAAAACGGCGCTTCGTGCCGTCTCTCATGATCACAACTAATAGATTATTCACACCGACTCTTGGCGGTTAGACCTGAATCGACTCGGAGCTTCCTTGGATCCAACTTTAAACACGACCCCATCGCTGGGCTGATTGGGTGCCGCCCAATGCAATAATCCACGGCCGCTTCTGGTCCTTTTTTCCCTTTTATCTCCCCCTCGGCAGGAACAAGACGGCCGTCTTTCCGATAGAAGTCACCCCAGCCAAGGTATCTAGACTGGATAGATAGGATTTTATGGGTTGAGGTGCATATGGCTAGTGAGGTATGCCATTGTTCCCCCCTCAATGCCCCATTCATTGCCCAGAAGCTGGGCAGAGCAGGTGCGTCCTCATTTGGGTCACGCTCCAGCAGCGAGAGAGAGAGAGAGAGAGAGCTAGACTACTTTCAAAGCACAAAGTATGCTGATCCCATCCCATCATCTCCATCAATAATGCGGGGTGGCCCCAACACCGATCATCTTTTTGAAGAATGATCTTCTGTCCCTTGTATCCACTTCCTCAACTCATTGAGTCATCATTATTTCCTTCCTTTTCGCCATGTCTCAATCGCCACCACCCATCAAATCATGTCATCACACTTATGCCATGCAGACTTCACCAACACATCCCACAGTAGACCAGACCATGCCCTAAAATGATTCTCATCGACAGAACAAACACACACAAAACTATCAATCTCATGCAGCCCTGCACCCGCGTTAGCTAATCCCATAGTTCATACAATAGCCCAATCTGCATGATGCTAAACCTGCATCTGATGATCCACTGATGATCCCGATTCTGGTGCAAGAAGAGGGGCGGGAGCTGCAGGGAACCCGGAATGCACTCACTCACTCACTCACTTCTTTTCCGTACCCTTTTTCTTTTTCTTTTCTTTGCTTATGCTGTTGTGCTAGAGTATGCACGGAGTCTCTACTACTAGACTACTTTACTGTACATCAAAGTACAATGGGTCCAAGCGGCTCGGAGAATTCCATTGTGGCTTTTGCCTTTTTTCTTTTTCTACAACACTCCCTTGCCTTGCCTGAACCTTTTTCCATACTAGTAGTTATGTGAGGGCTGAACAGCTGCAGTAAGCACAGACTAAGTCATTGTTACTCATCACACTACTTTCCTCCCGCAATGCAATCAATAGTTCGAGCTACTAAGTTATCTACTACACAGTAGTTTATTGAAATTCTGTCTGTCTGTCTGTCAGTCAGCCACGCTTCAACATCTCTGAAAGTTTAGTTTTGCTCTCATGGGGCTAGTAGATAAGCCGCGGCTGATATTATTTCTCCGGAGAAAATAATAGTAGCGACATTACTGAAGTCTTTTTGTCCCATCCCGTTCAGCTCTCCTGCGCACCCACTGATCCCTCTGGAGCACGCACTGGACGTATACAACTTGGCATCATCAGTCGATGACAACAAGCTATCACTTAGAGGGCATACAAAAACAATAATAGTTGCATGTTGTCTTTGATCGCATTTTAGTTTGGGTAGAAATACTGCCTTATTCTATCCTCTATTTTAGTAGAAAGACACTGTTATCAATATTAACAGTCCAATATGCGAATACTCCAATTCCTTGAATTTGTAATTATAGTGGCATCCGATTTACATACTTTCGCTCTCTGATTCTAGGGGTATATCCTTCTATCTTGAGTATCTACACTACTATGTAAATCTATACACTCCACTGCGTGGATACTTTCCAGACCCCAAGTGAAAGCCTGCCTTAAGCTTCAAAAGTCATACAGACACAAAAAGTGCCTCTTCTGATCAAAATATTTCGAGAAATCAGGAATAGAGCATTAGCTGAAACGTAAGAATAGTACAAGCAAGGATAGTATAAGCATAATAACCCGCATTCCCAGAATATAGACCTATCTATCTACCACGAACCCATGGGCTAGGAACACAATTGAGGTATAGATCGAAACCATGAGATAGAGAATAAACACTAATTAATATGAGTACACTTGCTCATATACTCAAGATCATTTCCAGTTCCCTGTCCATTCACAAAAGTATCTACGTTGACCAACTGGATCCAACATGATCATATTCTTAGAACTAAGAACAAGTGCAACTCGACATTTTCCTGGAAGAGCGAACATGTTCGTGGAACCTTTCACAATCTCCCACGTGCATGTGGGACGTCAAATGATTCTGTGGAAAAGGTTATGTTAGATATCGAGATAATTATAACATTTGTACCCCTCTCACTCTCTTACCACTGGAGATTTCTTGTTTCGTCTCAAGGGGTTCGATATGACAAGAAATGATAGGGTTGACAATTAAATTAACTTACGAGTTCTAAGTCTAATGTTATTTTTGCAGTATCTAGATCTTAGAATCCCCGCAGTGAAATACTACAGGCAATGTACATATGCCACATCAACAACCATCAAAGCAATAGCGACTCAGCATTTTAGCATCTCCATGCTCTTCTCTCAAGTCTACTGAAATTATTACTTCTCAGAATTCCCATACAATACACCTTAATACCCGTCCTCAGCGGACCACGAACCATTACCACACTGCACTACCATAATTCCCTCCCTTCAAATGACCTCCTAATACCCAACCCATAAAACCACTCTATATACCACTCACTGCCTGCAATCTACCCCACGCGAGGCAGATGCGCTACAAGCGGTTCCAACAAACCATGAACCAAATTCATCACGCCGAAGGATCAACTTCACCTCGTGACAGATACGTGGTCCATGCAGGTAAGATATGTGGGAGTATGCCACTGGCTAGAACCAAAGGGCTTTTTCTTGGGTTTCGGTCCGAGCCATTCCTGGCCTGAGAAATTAAAGTACTTTATAAAGTGGTGTCTTGGCTTTCAAGCTTAAGATAACTTTTATGCATATTTACACTGTACCAACTAGGTAGCTGAGTGGTATAGCATGGTTCTGGACTAGAAGTAGTATAGTTAATACTTTTATACTTATGTTACTGATCTTGGGGTCGATTTCTTGTCTATTAGTATATGCAGTTATAGCATTATGAGATAACCAGAGCCGCAAGGTCAATAAATAGTATAACTAGCAATTCAAATCTAAGTAGAATACAGCATCGATAATCCCTTTTCTTGTCAAGGCATAGATACTAAGCAGAGTCTATTCCCCATCTGAACCTCCTATACACCCAACATCATCCACAGTCACAACATATCAAACTGTACCCTCCCCTTTTACATACCCACAACCCACCCAGCCCTAATAACCAGTATACTGCAACTAACACCCTCATCCCAACCAAACCAGCTACCTCCCTCTACCACATCCACCTCCCCAACACCCACACATCTCCAGACAGACAACAACAATGCCCCGCAAATGCCCCACGTGCGCCAACCCCGGCGCAATCACAACGACCTGCGCGAACTGCCAAGGATCCGGCGGATGGTGGAAATCGACACGCACGGTCTGCGATCGATGCGGGGGCACGACGGTCGTGAACACGGGGACATTCTTCGCTCGAAGAGTAACATGTCCGAGTTGCAGGGGTGCGGGCAGCTGGGTGAAGAATCTGTGGCATAAGTGTGGGAGATGTAAGGGGAGTGGACGGGCTTTGGCGCCTTGTCCGAGTGCTTGTAGGAGGGGGAAGGGGGTTTATAATAATTGGTAGTTGATAAATATTATTATTTTTTGTTGGTGGAAGAAGGGGTTGAGTAGTTACAGAGATTCAGTATAGGAATTGGTGCAATTGAATGGTTAGTATGTGATAAGTACTACTACTAGTTGTTTGGCTACTTTTGTTGCTCGGAATATAGTAGGGATTTCTACTGGAGGATTCTTATGCTGTGTTTGTTATAATTGATAGAGAGAAAGTGTGTGTGTTATCTCTGATATACTATCCACCCAATCCATTACCCACTGCAGCTAGCAGTCTACCTGCACCACTACACATAGACCATTAAATATATACTAGATAAGCCTGGTAAGGTTAACCCAAGCGCATGACCGTCAAGCACAATCTAATCAACCCACTCAGCACACGCACTATATGCTCACCCCCACATCCCAGCAAAAAGCAATATCATGTCTTCCGCAATCTAATCACCTAGTAGTTCAATAGTACCAAAGGTAAGCCTCAGCTGAAAAGAACTGCTTATTGTATTCCCGACATAAGTAATCTCCCATCAATATGCAACTTGCACATCAAGCAACAAATAATCAGTCGTTGCTTTTTCGGAGAAAGGGAACTCAATTTTGACTCCATTTGTTCAATGGTCTTATCGGATTCTATTTCTTTTGAAAAGATTATCGAGACGGAGATAGTGTGTAGATTGTTGTTACTGTATGGAGACGGTGATACTTGATGGGAACAACACTTTATGTCCTGTGTGCTGCTTGATGGCACAACTGATAAATACAGTAGTCATTCAGTCAATGAAGATAAATAGGTCAGATAGGTCTCATATTCATGCCGCCCCTGTATCTAATGGAAATAAATCTAAAGAACATGCCAGAAGGCAAGGCTCCATTCCCGACCTATATGATGCGCTGGTTTCCAGGACAGAAAGCTTGTCCGCTGCACCAAGCATCGGTCAAGTATAAGTCCGCTTCTGTATAAGCCATGCCGCCCTTGTCCATGTCTGCGCCTGCTTAGAGGACCGTCGACCATGGCCCCTCGCGCAATCCTTTCCGTGTATAATTGACAATCAGGGAGAACTCGTATTCTCCGGTTTATCATTCGCTAAATTGCGTTCATGGATAAATGGATCCCACGCAAATCATCCCCGGCACTGCACCTAAGAGGCAAAATGGAGCCTTTCAGATGGGTAATAAAATATAGGAAGTCGTATTCAGCCCCCTTTACGTTGTCCAGCAGCACCAGCTCCTAGAATCAGATTGTTAGTCGCCATTCTTCATACAAGCGGGTCCGTCCCAAACGAATGGTGTTAGGCTTACCAATAGTTGCACTCGCGTTGCGCAGTTCAATCTTCTTACGCTCCATCTCGAGCTATCCAACTGTCAGATGTATCCTGTATTGTGGTATACGGCCAACTTACCACCATGCGTACTCGGGCAAGAGCAGCCGTGTCACCCGCCACAAGCGGCCGGCAGTCGTCGGGGCGGTAAGGAGCCGCAATGGAGACGGCATCGGCTACGATGATCTTGGTTCCATCCCACCGGGCCGGCATTGTGCGACTGAATGCGTCAAAGAGATCCTGTGCCTCCTTGGTGACTCCCTTGCCTCGACGTGCTTCACCTTCCTGCAGCTTGCCGACAGCAGCGGCCTCCCGCGCCTTCAGAGCGCGAATATCAAGTGCGTGCAAAGACGGTACAGCATCAGAGAAAGAAGCCCCATCGGTGTTGGACGGAGACAAAGAGAGAACTTGGAAGGATTGTATGCGCGACACCGGGATGACGTGGTAATCGCCGGTCTGTGACTTGCCTTCTTCGGCAGTATTGATGGCAACGAGATTCGTGATCGGACAGGCTGTGAACAGAGTCCCCTCAATGGTGGAGGCGACCGGAGATGTACTGATACGAACACTGTACAAAACAGAACATTAGCATGAACTTGAGGTCTCTATACATTCATCCAGAGGCTTTCTGCCAATAGGATGCAGGTGCTAGCACTTGCTGGACAGACGGAACTCTGCTCAACAGTGCTATGATAGGTCGAGGCTTACCGTGCGCCAATTGCACGGCTCAATGCCACCTCCAAAGGCACCATGGCACCAGCCATTCCCTGGCCTGCAGTTGCGCCAGACGATCCCTGTGCAGATGTTCTTGCTCCCACGCTGTGGCGCTTGTTATCTGCCATATGCTCGGGCAGGAGACAGTTGAACTATCCCACCAAGAGCAGTGCAGGACAGGACAGGCTCCACAGTCAGGCAGTGGCTGGACTGTCTCTGAAGAGGAACAAAGGCGGAGTGAGTCGAAAATGCCCCAAACACACGATTGCTCACGGTGAGGGCTATTCAGGTCAAGCGCAGGTCGAAATGATCGATCGGAATGGGATTCCAGGCTCGGTGGAAGCCACGGTCGTTACCAACAATGACGATGGCACTCGGGCGCGGAGCAAGCAAAAGTGGGACGGGCGGGAACCGCAGCTTAGTCGTAGTTGGGTAAAGGAACGACAAAAAGTAAAGACATAAAATATCCAGTAAAACAACAAACACAGAAGTGAATACGACGCCAATAAAGTACAACCAGCCCGGGAGGGAAAGCTCCTCAGCGTCCTGGCATGCAGTTGGGCAGAATGGTGGTGTGATTGTGCACCATTGGATTGACACGATGGCCGCCGAAAGGGAGTCACGACCTTCCCGTCGCCCAATCCGGTTTAGTCCAGGGCGGACAGCACCTCCGGCAATCACCAGTTGGCTGCTCTTTCACCAGTCTCAAAAACACTTATTCTGTCCCTTCTAAATTACGTCCTTTATTCGTGCCACTACTTATTAATGTTCAATCTACTATTATACTACAGTATGGAGGACTTGTGAAAAGAAACGTAAGACTATTTCATTCCATACGTTTTTCCCCTCAAAAAAAGAAAAAGAAAAAGAAAATAAACATCTAGATACATGTTAATGAAAATATAATAGAAATTCATTTCCTGTTTTGCTGGTCGTTTTGATCGTCATCATTCTTGTTTATGTGCTCAGGGGAGCCCGACTAGTTAACTCTCCTGTTTCTAGCCCAGCCTGTTCCCATGCTAGACCAGTGCGAGGCTCCACGTCCAGCGTTTTACATCGCATTTTCGTTTAGGCAATGTAGGTGGACGCAGACACGTTACCACCGCGTCCAGTCCAGTTGACGTGGATGTCCTTGCCCTCGGGGTAGGTCTCGCTGGCGTGCTCGGGCTTGATGCGGAAGGTGTGGGCACCGAAGTAGTCACGCTGGGCCTGCAGCAGGTTGGCGGGGAGGTCGCGGGTGCGGTAGCCGTCGTAGAAGCTGAGGGCAGTGCTGAAAGCGGGGGTGGGGATACCCCAGAGAGCACCCTTGCTAACAACGTTTCTCCAGCCGCTCTGGGCCTTCTTGATGGCGGTGTTGAAGAACTCGTCGAACAGGAGGTTCTCAAGGTCGGGGTTGTTGCGGTAAGCGTTGGTGATGTCCTTGAGGAAGACGGAGCGGATGATGCAACCACCACGCCACATGAGGGCAATGGAGGGCTTGTTCAGCTTCCAGCCGTACTCACGAGCAGCCTATAGTAACCGGTCAGTAGCCGAAAAAGGGGTAGCCATACTCTGGACCAGACTTACCTCCTGGATGAGCATGAAGCCCTGGGCGTAGGAGATGATCTTGGAGGCGTACAGGGCCTGCTCGAGGTCATCGATGAAAGCCTGCTTGTCACCGGTGAATTCGGGGGTAGGGCCGTCGAGAAGGCTGCTGGCACGGATACGCTCGTCCTTGAGGGCGGACAGGCAGCGAGAGAAGACAGCCTCGCCGATCAGAGTGACGGGCATGCCAAGGTCGAGGGCGTTGATGGCGGTCCACTTGCCGGTACCCTTCTGACCAGCCTTGTCGAGGATCTTCTCAACGAGGGGAGTACCATCGTTGTCGTTGAAGTAAAGGACGTCACGGGTGATCTCGATGAGGAAAGAGTCCAAAACACCCTTGTTCCACTTGGCGAACACATCGGCGATCTCCTTGGCGGGGAGACCAAGACCACGCTTGAGGATGTCGTAGGCCTATAACATATGAGTCAGTTGCCATACACTTATATCCAATTGTTGTATGGTCTCAAGTTTACCTCGCAGATCAGCTGCATGTCACCGTACTCAATACCGTTGTGGACCATCTTGACGAAGTGACCAGCGCCCTCGTCACCAACCCAGTCGCAGCAGGCCTCGCCGTCGCTCTTGGCGGAGATGCTCTGGAAGACGTCCTTGATGTAGGGCCAGGCCTCCTCGTTACCACCGGGCATGAGGGAGGGGCCGTAACGGGCACCCTCCTCACCACCGGAGACACCGCTGCCGACGAAGCGGATGCCCTTCTCGGCGAGATACTTGGTACGGCGGTTGCTGTCGGGGAAGTGGGAGTTACCACCGTCGATGATGATATCACCCTTCTCAAGGTGGGGCAGGAGAGACTCGATGAACTGGTCAACGGGCTTTCCGGCCATGACCAGGAGCATGATACGACGGGGGCGCTTCAGCTTGGCGCAGAACTCCTCAACGGAGTGAGCACCGACGATGGGCTTGCCTGATGATCCGAAATGTTAGTCGATCCGAGGGCCGAGATGCATCCTGGCAGAGCGAGCTTACCCTTGGCCTCATTCTCAAGGAAGCGGTCAACCTTGGAGGTTGTGCGGTTGTAGGCGCAAACAGTGAAGCCGTGGTCAGCAGCGTTAAGGATCAGGTTCTGACCCATAACGGCCAGACCGATGAGACCGAAATCAGCACTAGGCAAAGGACGCGCCGGAGCGCCGACATTGATGCCGGCGAGACGGGCGCTAAAGTCAGTTGCCAAATCCTCTGTCAATAGCTGGGCAGAAATGTGACAATTGGGGGGTGACGAGTGAAGCTGCGTTGCCTCTAACGCTACTATGACGTCGAGACGCAAACCCCACGAAGCTGGCGGTCCATTGCACCATCACCACTAAACAATGGAAGATGGATCCTGGAAGCCATATGAAGCAGTCTTTTCATTCTCCAGCTGACTCACGAACAGCTGGATCTCTCCCGGCTCATGCATTGATGGGTCGGAGGGGGACCAAGCTGTGGGGGAAAGCAGATGATTGAGGGACATGTAGGCTTGGAAGGGGATAGGGGAAAGGAAGAGAGAACAATGGTAACCGCAGGGTACTTACACAGCTTGGTCAGCCATGATGAAATAGTGGGGGGTATGAGACTCTGGAGATGGAGATATGGGAAGAAGTGGAAAAGTAGAGGAGAGGGGGAGGTGGTGGATATATGTACAGTCAGGAAGAACTAACTGCCTAGAGGAAGATGGAGAAAAGGAGGAAGGTTTTAGTTTGGAGGGGAAGAAAGGGAAAGAGAGGAAGAGGAAGAGAAGCGAGCGAAAGGGAGAAGGCGTTCGAAGATGTCAGAGCAGGATTCGCTGCAACTGGACGGCTTACGGAGCAGCTCTTCCGTCATGGTGGGACGGAGGGCGGGGCAGCACCTGAGCAAGAGAGGAGCAGAGTCCTCCGGTGAACAAGACTTAGTAGTAGTTAAGTCAGTACACCGGTGGGAGAGGGAGTTTGGTACCGGAACATACATGGAAGCCCGCGGATAGATGGTTGGTGAGTAATAATTGTTATGTGAGTAACTATAGTAAGGAGTATCTAATATGTACAGTGATGGCTGTTCTTTCTTTGATATTTAATTTTGGTTTGGGTAATACAACAAGCATGCATACATACTACTACTACCATCTACTGCTATAAAAATCCCCCCACCATTTTCACTGTCATCCTCGTAAAATACGACCTCTACATTATTCTTTCTTCCAGATTGAAGATTTCAGTTTCATCAATTCCTTATTGATGACAGACACTACATTCCTCAACTCCAATCGCCAATTGATTCCCTGGGGATGACATGTTCGGAGATGACGGTGTTGCCAGGAGCTTCAAACATGGCGGGGCATGGAGGGGCACTTGCCGGCCGCAGCAAAATACGCCCGTAACGCAGGTAAAAAAGCCCGCGCTTCCTAATTCCTACATCGGCCCAGCAACAGTCAAAAAAGGGACCGAAATTCCCAGACTTCCCAGAACACGTTCGGTGAAGCACCTTCGGAGGCGGATAAATCGGTCTCCCCTCCACTCTTCCCCATCTTGTCTAACTACGAACAGTAATTCACTGTTACTGTTGGTTCAGACAGTGGTTCCTCCATCACCTCATTCCAGTGTATCAATAATGCCTATCTATCGGGTACGGCATCGGACTTCCTCCTGTATGTAGTCTGTCAATTGTCATAGTATGTTCTGCTTTTCGATGGCCCTTCGGTATCCCAGCCATCGGAAATTGTTGGGTATCTAGACCCCCGCGGAGGAGAAAATCCATAAGCCGGAGAAACTGGCCGCTATTTCCGGGGACTTCTTATCTTCATCCCGCACTGGTCTTTTCTCCTCTCGTGATGGAATTGGCACGATGCCCTCCTATAGGGACGATCCTCCCCCCCAGCGGTCGGCTACTGCATTTCCCAAAGGGGCTTAGGGTGGGGGTTGCATCACATGTGGGAAATCCGTTGGGGGCTCAAAGTTGTGCTTGGCTGGCTGACTCAGAAGGTCAGCCTGGCCGGCCAGCTATTTTATCACGTGATCTTTATGGCTCAAATCACGTGGCTTGGACCGGTTTGCATCGAACGGGAGGCGAGAAAAACCATTCATGCGGTCTTTTCTCTCCTGCCGCGCTGGACTTCATCCGTCATCTGGGCCACCAAACTTGCCAACCCGAGCCTTCCAACAGCACACGGTTCGCAATCACTCGATACACTACCCATCTGACTATCAGCACCGCCGTCGCCTCTTCACACTTTACAGCAAGGAATTGTTAGATATTCCACCACCACTTCTCCTCCTGTCTACTCACCTGTCTCTGTACTAGTGCAAGGAAAGATCTAGAAAGGCTCGTCACCAGTCCTTTCTTCCATCAAGATTCGGAACCTTTTTCAGGCGTGACGTCTGGCGTATGACTGCTGCGTCAGTCAAACCCTGAAGGTACGTGTCTGCTGCTAGTTTGCACACGGCGCATCACATCATCCACCACCTTTCTCTCTATACTATATATCGGACTCTCCGTTCATCATGTCCTTTCCGCCACCTCCAGGTCTCAGACAAGCTCCGTCATCTCTCCCTCCGCGGCCACCGGCAACAGCAAGCGCTGCCTCACCATCTACCTTTCAACCTGCATATTCGGCGGCACCGTCAGGCGCAAACAGCAGCTATGGCGGAAACGGGTCTCGACCGGGCTACAGCGCCATCACAGCATTCCAGCCTCGCTCGGTAGCTTCGAGTCAATCTTACCGTACCAGCAGCCCCGTCGTGTCCGCTCCGCCCACTACATCTAGTGGATATTCGACACCGACCACGGGCAGTTACGGTGGCTACTACCCTCAGGCGCAAGCGTCATATCAAAGCGGCCCTTCTTACTACGGGGCCGCCCAGTACAATGATAACACATACGGTCCGTCTGTACCTCGAATTCAGAACCCCTTCACGCCAGCAGGGGGCGATCAGTCAGGCGCCTATGGCATGCGTGGGAGGAACTTTGGCCGGAATGAATCGGGGCTGGACCCTGAAACGGAAGCCCAGATTGCACAGTGGCAGAGTGCCTACGTAAACAAGGAGGAGATGCCCGTAGCCGGCAAGGTTCCCGGTCGCCCGGGTGTTAACCCGGGTGTTGCTGGTCCCGCGTCTGGTGCCAACACCCCGTCCGGTTCCAATACAGCGGCTAACACGCCAGCACCCACCGTGGGTAACCCGGAGCCTGCACCGAAGACTGTGGTCCGTGCCGGAGGTGGTCAGACCTGGTCCGATTCGACCCTCCTCGAGTGGGATCCCGCACACTTTCGCTTGTTTGTAGGCAACCTGGCTGGTGAAGTCACGGACGATTCGCTACTCAAGGCATTCTCCAAGTACACCTCCGTTCAAAAAGCCCGAGTAATCCGCGACAAACGTACCCAGAAGAGTAAAGGTTACGGATTCGTCAGCTTCAGCGACGGCGACGACTATTTCAAGGCCGCGAGAGAGATGCAGGGCAAGTACATTGGCTCGCATCCGGTTCTGCTCCGACGAGCCACCACGGAGGTCCGTCCCGTGTCCAACACGAAAAATGGGAAGAAGCATGGTGGTGGCGGCGGTTCGGGTGGTGGCTCCGGCAGTGGTAAGGTCAAGCATGATGGCGTCAAAAAGCATGGAAAGACCAAGGGAGGACTCAAGATTATCGGATGAAGGAGTCATGTTGTATGTTTCAAAAACTTAGTGTGTATCGGATAAACAATAATGCATAAAGCTACGCAGAGAACTCTCTATCAGCATAAAAGGACGCCTACAATGTTAAAATAAACGGTGAGCAGCGGGATTATACAAGGTTTCATATAGACAACTGTGTCCCAGGGTCTTTCATAATGCGGAGTACATCAGCAGTATATAGTACTTATCAGCTACAGCAATCACGGGATAGAAAACGAAACACTACTTACTTGCTACCGCGGGAGCACGAAGATCAGTCTAACGTAATTATAAATTACTACTTGATCTTCTTATCTACTTACTATTCAGCCAAACGGCTGTCCTGAGTTACTTAATCTTCGACTAACTACCTGTTCGAGTGATAGCGAACTCGGCAACTCTTCAGGTCTCAGAAGGCAAGCATTGAGTGGGTCCCTTGGGTCATCCATGCTGTCTCCGCTATTGTCAGTGAGGTGCCGCCTGTTACACAGCTTGCGTGCACATGTATATGAACTTTCTGACATTGGTTTTATCCCTTCTCTTTGGTAATACAATACAACTCCCTGGCCTTCCCTTTTTCTCATCATCCACCTCCCGGAAACACGATCTTCCGAAATCCAGCCTCACCCCAAAAGAGGCCCAGTGGCTGGTGTCCGCTTGGAAGCAACGGTTGGCTGAGGGAAAGCAATAGATCAATCATCAAAGTCACAACAATAATCCATCACTTGCAGGGCAATTGTCGAGGCAGCCGCTACGTACCCAAGAAACTTGATAATCTAGATTATTCTTGCCATTATGACGGCGCCACTGAGAGCTCTAAAAAGAGTTATAAAGTCGACATTACCCCGATTCCATCGCATGTACCTATCCACTTCGCCCTCAACGGCCTCCAAACCTCCCCTTTCCGGTAAGTCTGTGCAGGTAAATGTGTTTGCCTTATTACTGATCATCGCCATCCTCAACATATACCCCACTCAGATCAACATACAGGCGATGTTCTGTTTTCTTATACCTCTGGACGCTGGCTATGGGACGAAGCAGCCCAGCTTCGGAAACGCTACCAGCCGTTCAATGTCGAGGAACTCAAAAAAGCAGCGGCCAGATCAGTTGATGCGAAACACTGCGTCAACCTTACAAAATTACCTGAAGGCTCATACAATAAAACATTACTATTAACAATGGATAATGACGTCCAGGTCATTGCTAAAGTCCCTAATCCTTATGTCTCTCAGCAATTCGTTACAGCCAGTGAAGTTGCAGCGCGCTCGACTTTCTTCGTAACGAGCTTGGTTTGCCCGTTCCGCGAGTTTTTGCGTGGAGCAACAAGAAAGACCAGCCCGTGGGAGTCGAATATATCATCATGGAGAAAGCCCCTGGCAATGAATTGAGCGAGCAAAAAATGGCCCACTATGGATATATCGGATAAGGTGGACATTGTGTCCCAGTTGGCAAGTATTCAGGTTACAGTAGCCTCTGCAGACTTCAGCCACTATGGAAGCTTGTTCTACAAGGATGATATCGATGGGGGCATCACTATTCCCGGAAGAGCCGATAAGTTCTGTATCGGTCCCAGCTGCGACCTGCGATTTTGGGAAGAGGAGAGGAGGTTCATGGACGCATTCAGAGGCCCTTGTAAGCGAAACCGCTAGTCATGATCAGGGACTGAACTAACAAGAGACCAAACAAACCAGGGTCGTCATCCGAAGCATACGCTATGGGTATTGCCAGGCGAGAGAAAGAATGGATCAGCCGGTTTGCAAATCCTCGCCATTCGGCAGACCCCTTGAGACAGTCCGATAGCCAAGAGTCCCCGGACTGTCACATTGAACTCCTGGACAGATATCTGAAACTGGTGCCTCATTTGATACCATCAGATCCAGGTCAGAATCGATCCGTACTCTGGCACGCCGATTTGCACTTCGGGAATATCTTTGTAAAGGATAACCAGATTGTCAGCATTATTGATTGGCAAGGCTGTTCTAGTCTTCCTATTTCCCACGCATGCAGGATGCCGAAATTCCTGAGATTTCAAGGGTCCTTGCTTTTCGATCTTCCCCCGGCCACAGGCCTCAGGCCAGAAGAAAAAGAGGACAATCTACGAAGATACCAGCTTACACAACTCCAGAGACTATACATTTCTAGGTTCCGCGACATCGATAATGATGTCTTCTCCGCTATTTCGTTTCCTCAGGCTTTAACGCGACAGCAGCTCATCGACTTTTCAGGGTACACGTGGGATGACGATGGCTTGTTTTTGTTCCAAGAGATGATGCTTCGAACATGGCGCGAATGGATGGGATTAACTGGCCAGCCACAGTCTTCTTGCCCTGTGGCATTTACTGCCGATGAGCTTGCGAGTCATGCTGCCGAAGAGAAGAGCTGGGAAGGTCGCAGAGAGCTCTTTCGACGCCCTTGGAATTCCCACTGATGGCTGGGTACATCTTGAAGACTTCGAAGCCAAGGTAGAGACGATGCGCAATCTAGTGAGCTCGATCATAGACTCTGCGGATGACAAAGATAGCGTGAAGGAGGCACTAAGAGCCTGGAAATTATCAGATTTAGGGCCTGCAAGCCTGTCCGGTAATCTGATGAGTATCTAGAGTGCTTTTCTTGACACATCACTGCTGAACATTGATCAGGAGTTTCAGTCTCCTCTTCATGCTGTATGCTAATGCTGACTACCCACACCCTGTCTATTCACTCTGACCCTACTACCTACTGCTTCAGCGTTTCCGGTCGTCAGCAACCATAACAGTTGTCGATGATGGATCAGCAGGACAATGGGCTTGCAGCAATAAATTCCTGCTCCGCAGTGCTGCTTAATATCTTGGCCGCCATCGCAAATCACTCCAGTCAGTGCGTATCGATCTCCGGTATCGGGAGGCCTTCCGCGATTGGAAAGGCATCTGTTTGATCTCGCCGAGTCTATTCTTTATGGGAGATTCAATAGCCCGAAAATGATGGAGGTGGAACAAAAATGCCAGCTACATGCGGAATATGCTGAGATGTCTCTACTTGCCCACGTCAGGGTCGAATTTGCATACGACAGCTAGCCAGGAACCAGCATGTCGGCCTGCCATGGGAACAGTATACCTCCGGCGGATTTTGACAACTATATTACGCTTTCCTGGACTGTGATGGTGACGCTCTTCAATTTTTCAGCATCCAAATGACTCTCGATATAACTAACTAGCAATTAGCTACTACCGCTATTTTACAACGGTCACGGTAAACCCCCTTCCCCGTTTAGGCAAGTCTCACTATATACTGTTTTTTTAGCACTTCTAGACCTTCGACTCGTTCAGCCCGCTGCAATTGCCCCGCTTCTCATTTCTCAAGTCCGGGCATGAAGAGCTGCTTCTGCACTGTGCGTTGGAACATGTTAATCGGCTAAAGCCCTCACTGGAGTAAAACTACAAAGTCCCGGTTTTTTTTTTTACTACCCTAGGTAGTTCTTCTGGCAGGTCTGTATTTGAACCAATTGATTACGTCGGTATATGTTGCTAGATTACAGTAGGCTTTGGTAGAAATCTCTTCTACTCCATCCCATGGCGAATTTGATATCTAAGGATCTCAACGAAGGGTCTACGACGAAAACCTACACGCGCCTATTTCCAACCCCCAGAGTCAGCGTGACCCTGCGTGTTCAGAACCGGGGGGGCACTCACCATCAAGAAGTGGCGGCTTCATCGTCAATCTCGGGGATGACGAGGGGGTTCTCAGCACTATCACCAGGCCGAGCAGGAGGACTATAACCGAATAAAGACTATGTCAGCAATGGGTGTATATTATGATACGGAGCCTGTACTCACGCAGGGTCGTCTTCAGACAGGTCTTTATCTATCCATCGGTCTAACTGGCGGACATAGTCCTCAAACGGACGGGCCAGGGCAGCGGGCGAGGCGCGCCAGGTCGGGATATTCGATTGGCGAGTCCTCGCGTATCCCTGGAGCACGACCATTGCGCGGATATGGGGGTCCTTGGGACTGGCAGTCAACTCCCACTCCCTGATCCAGTTTCTAAGGAGGGAGACTTCCACGAAGATATAATTGACACCCCGGCAGATTTTAAGAAATATATGATTCGGCGCGCTTAGTCGGCAGGAACATCAGATAAGAAGATCTGTGTCATGTCCGCAGGGGATATCATCAAGCCCAGTATAGGGATTAGCACAAGCTCGCTGTATAGTGATTTCAATCCATCTCAAGGTCAGCACAGTCAGAATGGTCATGAGTATCTATTAGATTAGACAATTAGCTGGCGGACATGGAACACGGTAAAACGAAGAGCACCAACCTTGCCATAACCAACATCATCAGCCAAAAATCCGCCGCGCAAGTAGGTCGTCACCTCGCGCGCCAACATCCAGATGGCACCGTACACCTGGTACAGAAGAAGGTATCGCTTAGTTTGGAGACCCGCTATAAGATACCTCGTACTATCCGATCACCATTGAACAAAGTCCACCTGTCGAACTCCGCCTGACAGAAAATCATTGTCTCCTCGACGAGTCCGTCGCGTGGCTATTGTTTGCAAAGGGAGTATAATCTATTTCCTCTATCTTCAATCCCTGCAGCCGTCTTAGTTAGATTATTTTTTCTAGAAAAAAAAAATCACTCCAGTGAACGAGGACTTCTGAATAGACCGCCATCGGATCTGCCCAAGACAGTTATTGTCGATAATAGCTCCATTGTCTACAACGATCAAGCAGGCCCATGCTCTTGTCAGGATGACGTTTGCACGACGATTGTCAGCAGCAAAGCCTAATTCAGACTTTGTCCCTGAGTCGACCGCCCAATTCAATGTAACAATATAGGTCTATGCGCGACCCTGCATTGAGTCAACAGTAGCAACTTTACCATGTCCTCCAAGCTATATTGAGCCTTCCCGGTAACTTTATCATTTGGCGGACGTACTCTTTCTTCTAATCTGCATATGTCGTGATAATAGCAACTCTTTTCCCTTTCAGTGCACCACACTGACCAGAACTCCACGAGCTCCATAACCACAGAAACATTGGCATTGATCCTGAGCAAGGCCGCTCATTACTCATGGTATGTATGCGTGCATCTCTGCGCACTTTCGACAATCGCTCTGCTTAACCTTTCGAGAGCCGTGGTGAGCTGGTCAGAATCATGATATAAATTGAACTTGGGAGCTATGAAAATTCGGTGGAAGTGCAAGACGAACTATTTAAAGGGCTGACCCTGCCGAAGGAGACAGATACCATTAAGCCGCGAGAATCGACCCGTTGGGATTAATTGATTTATCAGCCATAGTATATATACACTCCGGCTTATATGCTGGCGTAGAAGCGCCTTGAGCGTACCTCATGGAGTTTGGGATGTTCAAATGGTATGTAAAAGATCGTGGATCAGTGCTGCCAGACTCGACTCTCACTGGTAGACATGGGACCCATCATTCCCGATGCTCTGCAGCACTAGTACTCACGAGATGAGCATTAGTTAGGACAATCTTCAATTTTGTCGGACATGCTATTGGCTGGTAGCGTTGATTGTCTGTTAATAGGCTATGATTCATATCTTGCCATATATTTTATTACATAGATAGATAGTAAGTGACTATCAGGTCGCCTGTAGCTCTTCCGTTTTGTGTTTCTTCTCTTCGTAAAGAGACGTGCGTCGTCATCATTGTCGGACTTCGCGTTCGTGTTGGAGAATATCTCGACCAGGGCATGTGGCATACGAGGACGGTATAATCGTGCGGCTTATCTGGGGTGTCGCTAGCATCGGGACGGGCAAGGGGGTCGAGTATCGAAGGTCATGGTGGAAGTCGTGTATATTTCGAAGTTACTGATACCATAGCAGCTTGAAGTAGGAAAGAATGGGAAGAGGTATGGAGAGAAATAGAACAACTTTATTACAACTAGCACGTGTCACATCAGACGTGAACGGATCAATTCCTCTCCTCGATTAGGTAGACGCAGGCGTAAAAATAATCGCCTGCTTGTGTGCCAGTTCGGCAGTGTGGGCGGCCTGGCGTGGAAAAGGATGACTTGAAACACTCCTTCTGGGCTCTGTGAACTATGTGTGTATTAGGGCAGCAGGGTACAAGATGAGGAAGGAACAGTGTATGATGTTGGTCGCTCTGTCTTCGTCAATGGCAGTTAGGGTTGTCACACTCTCCCCAGACCATAGTCATCGGCGAGAAGACCTCCCCAGATGGAGTCTATTCCTGACCACGAGCTTATGTACGTTGATAGTCTGCCAGGGGAGTAAGAAAAGGGAGGGACCTGGCTAATCCAGATTTTTGTCGAGGCATACATGGTCGTGCGCCTCCACGAGCGTGACCGGGTTCGCTGAGAGACTGTCCGTGTTCACCGGCACGTCGTCAGTGCTTGTTTCCAGACTAAGGACGTTGGGCTCCACATCGGAATCGATGAACCCTGTTGCTGCTTCTTCTCGCTCAGACCGTGGCTGTGTGACTGGGTAAGATAGCACGACTGAGGAACTCATGTCGTCCCGTCCGTCCAACGCAGTCTGTCAAGGATGACAGAGGCGAGAGAAGGCCAGGAATCGGATTCGATGGAACCTGCTGCTGCATCTTACCCAGCTTGTAAGCCAAGTAGCTGGAGTACCTCTGGCGTGACAGAAGCGAGAGAAGGCCGGGTTCTGAATCGATGAAATCTCCCTCTCTGAGAGTGCGGCATGCCAATCAACATACGCGCCATTGTCGCTATGCCGTGGATATCTTTCTCCGCGGCGTCTGCAATAACTGTATCCTCCGGGCCATATAGAATACACTTCTTCTTAAGTCATGACAGGCTGATACAGGACCTCGCAGTAGACATAATCCATGGGCGTTTTATGCATACTTCCGACGCGGGTGCAAATGAGTGCGTTCCCCAGATGGCAATCCCAGGACTTTTTCCATGGTCACGGCGTCTTTTCCCGGTGATAGAAACAGTTTTGCGCGAACGATCACTAATAAATCTTTTGATGTCATATCAATTTCACTGAAATAGATAGTCCCCAAGAACATCTTCCTCTGGAAGACCGAGCAGGTTTTCCAAATAGCCTGCTGCTCATTCTCAGAAATCGGAGTGGATGATGGTTCGGTGCGGCTTATGCTGAGCAGTCTATCGTCTGATAGACTCGTAGTAGAAGTCCCCATGTTTGCTTTGGTGAGAGAGCAATGGATGCTACTGTAATATGTTCTTTTCTGTGTTGGTAGTGGATATAAAACCGACAGAAGTGTTAAATGGTACTTATGAAAGACCCAGCAACACTGATGCTGCTTGTATACTATATCATAGTATAGTAAGTCAAGCTGCCCAGAAGGAAGTAGAGAGAGGATCATACATATATAGTAGTAGTGTATAGGACAGAGGGAGGAAGGGAAGATGAGAGAGAGGAGAAGGAGAAGAAGTCCAGCCATATATAGAGAGAAGAGAAAGGTTTTGAGTGAAGAAAGACCATGAATAGAGACTAGGGAATAGGGAATGTCCCCTATAATTTCATCAAGATAGAACAATCACAGTATGTGCAGTAAAAATTTCAAATCACCACTAGTGCTTAGTGAAGGTCCAAAACATAGTATATCCAGGGAATACAGGTATGAGAACCCGTTCCCAAAGCGTTTTAGAAGTGAATTATCCAGTTACTGCCTGACGGAGCTTGCCAGAAGGATTAGGGTACTGCGAAAGGAAGAAACCGAGAATCTTGTAAGGTAGTTATGGCCTAAACGGAGAATGACGGGTTAGAGGGAATTGCCAGACACGTGGACTGCCATCGCAGATGCTATATGAGTGGCAGCCCTTCAATGTTGATAGTAACTACTTATACTATTCTGGGTCTAGGTTTAGCTTTATACTTTGAAGGAAGGAGACATAGTTGCGAAGAGCAGCATGGATAGTGGCTGACTACTAGTACTAGTATATAACTAGCTAGCAGTAATAAGCAGAATAATATATGGAAATAGAAGGCAGCATATACATATACCACAAAACACCAATCCAAACCATCAACCCCGAGAATCAATAAACAAACGGTCGGATCCCGTCCGACGCAGACAATGAACGCTTTTGACAGCATGTATATATGAGCCAGACACACACAGCGTATGAACAATCAATCAACAATGCATATGCAGAAATACTCCGTACCCAAGATAAGGAAAAAGAAAACAATCATAACATAAACCCTATGCGTGATACATAAATCCCATATCGGACAACTTCATGTTCCATGAACAATAAATCGTAAATAATGCGTAATAGTGATAGCTCAACAATAATGGCAGAGCTAAGCCGTTAAGTCGTCGAATCGATCAGATCAATCAATCGTAGTCTCGTAGTTTTCGTGACAGTAATGCTTCAATGAGCGGAAGAAAGCTGGGCAATTTTCGATTTGGAATTTAGGCCTCAGCTTCACCACCGCTTTCCTCGTCGACTGCTCGTTTCCGGGAGTGCGCAATGCGGTTCTTCATCGTGTGAATGAAGTACCCTGCGATGGCGAGGATGATGAATAGGACGATGATAATGACGGCGATGGCGATGTTTTCTTGCATTTTGGTGAATTCTTTGCTGTCTGTTTAACTTTCAAAATTGGAGAATGAAGTATTGGCGGAAAGTCGTAATGCTTCCTTATGAGAAGGGGTAGTATCTGTTGTGGTGCTCCTGATGGTGGTGGAAATGCAGGTATAGATCCCCAATCACTTTATCGATAAAATGTGGATATGGATAGCCGACCGGAATGTAGATAGTAAACAATGGGTGTGAAATTCCACCCTAACAGAGCTTGTAGTGTAAAGAGCCCTGAACAACCCCAATATAAGTAGGACGGGGAATGGAGGGGAAGGAAAAGAACGAAAAACCACGCAGCTCCCGGTTATAAAAGGGGAAATGGCGTGGACGTGGACGTGGCCCAGCCATGTTGATTTTTGATCCCCTGTTGCGGGTGGCTGGGGATAAGAAACGGATCCATGATTGCTGAGCTTATTGGACGCTAACAGCGTTAGTGCACGGCTTGGGCGCACTGGACTGATGCTTGCTTGTTCTGCCGTGTGGTGCCGCCTTGGTTGTTAAATAGCATCTTCACTAATGTTGATCCTGACTTTATCCAAGGTAGAAGTAATAGAGCTGATTATACCAAGGGGTTGGTGACTCAAAAAAGATAGATTGATTTGGTTGTCTCTCGTGCAAGGCCTAGCTCCCGGAATATCCACTATATCTACCCTCCATCTTCGTTCCGGCAACTCAGTAATTGTAAGCCGAGCCCGGTAGGCGAATCACCATTAATTCTTCCTTGAGATGCTCAGTATATGCTCTCAAATGAAATTTTTGGCTTATTTTTGTCCCACTATGAATGGCTCTATGTCTCTTGCTCCTTTGGTTCAACTCATATGCTAGTGGTCATCATCTCACTCAGGAAAACCAGCGTCTTCACAGCCAGGAGTAGTGGTAGTGTAGGTTACACCAGGAAATTTAATACCAGCGGAGTATCTGATTCACAGAAACTGACCATTGCCTTTTGCTAATACTCAGACAGTTCTTCTCAAGTGCCCATGTTTAACTAGATCGCTTACTTCACTGACCTCAAGCTTCAATCTGGATATAGGCACTCAACGAGGCAAGGCGCCCATACATGCAGTAGAGAAATTAGTACTATGCAATAGCACCGAAAAGCAAACATCATGTCTACTACTAGTATATACCTCCCCTTTGCCCTGAACAACACGACAAGTTAGCCACTGCACCTCCCAGACAAGAAACCAACCCTATCTCAGCAGCATTCATAACAGCAAACACACAGAAATAGCCCTGTTTACCACTCAAGCAACCCCTACTTCCTCGTCTCCACCACCTCCCCAATCATAGCAAAACTCAGCATCTTCCGATCAAAGAACCGCTCCTCATCCTCCGCAATCTGCGCCGCCGCCTCAGGAGCCGTCACCTTAGCCATAAAAGCCTGGAAAGAAGGCTGATCAGCAAAGGTCAATTCAGCCGTCGTATCAAAGTCAAAGTCCGACTGCTGGCCCTGAAGGATAGTCGCCGGGGTTGTGGCGTTGCGGGCCGTCGCCCCAGCAGGTGGGGTATCAACGGTTGTGCGAGCTATATAGGTACGGCGGTGCGAGAGTGGGAAGTCTTCGCCGGAGATACGTCTCACGAGATCGATGTGTGCTTCGTAGCGCTCTCGGAAAGTGGACAGGGAGAGGCCGGGCTTGCGGTAGCCGTAGATGAAGACGCGGACGGTCATTCTGGTAGGGAAAGACGGTTACTATGGAGGAGGGAATGGGTTTGTTGCGGAGTTGAAGGGTATAGTTTGTGCTTGACTTTGGGTACATGAGCTGCATTGGAGGTGGGGTTGTCAGGCACGGATTATATCGGAAGTTGGTGCATGTTAAGTGCTGTTTCTTGGATTGGCATAAATGAAGTAGTTCTCATTGCGGGGTTGTTGGGGCACATGTCTTTGTCTTTTTTCTTTGTATGGCTGGGATGGAATAGAGTAGCGGATAGTAAATTATATTGGATTGGGAGACTGGCATCCGGAAGGATAACAACTCATGGTGTGCGGAAGGATATCGATGTATAGTGATGGTTGGTGCAGGCAAATGTACATAGATGCGATAACTACGGATGGGGAGGTATACGGGTCTCCGGGAAGAAAATAAGGACCAGAATAATTATTTCAGTTCAATGAAGTAGACGAAGAGGAAGAGGAGAGGCAAAGAAGCATCTGTGTGTAATGAAAAAATGAAGAAAAAAAGAATGACCAGTCTGGGGCTCGATCCCAGGACCTTATCGGTGTTAACGATACGTGATAACCAACTACACCAACCAGCCATTGTTGAATTTTTGGAGCAAATTATGTATTTATGTAGCTGTAAAGAGTCTCTACTCCTAAAACACGCTGGATAATCAAACGCGCTAACTCAAGGCCACCAATGAAACCTCCCTACTTCATAGTCGCATCGAACAAAGAGCGCCTCGTGAATGTCTGTTGTAATTAAAATTATGATCTGCGGTACCCGCAGCCGCTTACTCCCAACCGGCTTGGTATGCAGTTGGTCTGGGCTGTTCGGAACTCGACATTCCCCATCAACCACCGGATGTCACGGTCATAACATGGGAATGGCGTCACGACTTCCGCTTGAAGCTGGCATTCCGGCTCGACTGCAGGGGTTGACTTTGGGATTGAATAGTCAGGATGACTTAAATAATAGGTATTACGTTGAGGCGAGCAGTTACTTGGCCCCTCTCGATTGCAGGCCAGACGGTTAGATATTTTAAGAACGACAAATATTGGTATCATCGCACATTAACCAGTCATATCACTCTGATGCGCACTACTGTGTACACCAACTGATGGCGCGGAGACCCGACGTTTCAGTGGTCGAACTAGGCGCCAACCCATGAGTTCCCCGGACCCTGGCTTCCGCGCGTCAGGGCTAGCACTAGGTGGACTAGCAACTGGCACTCACAGGAATTTAAGAATTCATAACCGAAATACAACTCTGGAGTGACTCGAAGCCACTTACAAAGAGTCATCAAAGTGTCCAGGTTAAGTCAGGCCAGACAGTTGAGCCCCGCCCGGCGCCGTTCCACTTCTTTAGCCCCAGATCTAGTAGACTAGCCACCTAGGCCTAGGCAGAGATTCAGGGGAATTGAAAGACTGGGGAGATTGCCTTGTCGCCTTTCACGATCCGGTCGACTCTCAGTCTGGTCCAACTGATAATGTTTCTATTCACATCACAAAAACGGTTCGGCCGGCTGATTCTCTATGCGCTGGGGGTGCTCGGGATCATCCTCATTCTATGGCAGTTGCCCTATGCTCGGCCCACCGTGCGGATAGGAGCTAGAAGCGCCCGGTCTCAGCTCGAGGATATCAGGAACGAGACTTTGGGGGTACTTCCCTCCAATGAAGTTGACATTAGCCCCCACACTAATTTTGTATAGTTCCAGAAAATATTCGCGATCAATCTGCCTAGCAGGGTTGACAAGCGCGACAACCTTGTCCTCGGCTCTTCAGTCAGTGGGTTTAACATCGACTGGGTTAACGGCATTACTCCCGACGAGGTTGACCCCAGGACGTACCCTTATGTGAGCCCTTGACAACGCTATCCAATGGGATGCATGCCACTAACATTTCAGAACTGGAACTATGACCACAAACCTACCGAGTATGGAGCTCGACGGGCTCATGTGAATGCCATGCAACGGTATGCCATAAGCTGCCCCCTTCCTCATATATTTGGCTAAACATGCACCCCCAGAATTGTTCATGAAAGATTAGGAAGTGCCATGATCATGGAGGATGATGTTGACTGGGACGTAAACCTCAAGACCCAGCTACAGAGTTTTGCTTTCGGCGTCCGGGCTCTCCAGGGTGCGGATAACAAGGTGACCGCTTCACCGTACGGTGACGACTGGGACATCATCTGGCTTGGTCACTGTGGCGTGTCATGTCGAGAAAACGATCCATATTTCGTGAGCTTGAATGATACAACCGTCCTCCCGCCACACCACTTCCTGCCCTACTGGCGCGATCCACCCTCGTTCGGGGTACCAGACTATAGCCGTCTAACCTGCGTCGTCGACGATGCAGTTTGCTCGATTGTCTATGCTGTGACCTACCGCGGTGCTCAGAAAATCCTGGCCGCTCTTTCCGTGAACCCGACAGGTCTCGCCGATAAAATCGACATTGGTGCTCAGTTCGACGTATCGCTCGGTCGCATGTGTGGCAATGGCTATCTCCGGTGCTTTGCAGTCTACCCATCCTTAACAGGTGGATATCATCCCGCTGGACCCTCCTCGAAGGAATCTGATATCCACGGCGGGAATGAGGACGTCCATCCCATATCCAGTCACGGGGTTATGTACAGTACGATGCTGAACATCAACCGCATATTGGCTGGAGAAGATACAGTTGTTTCCAATTGGGATGACGCCCCTGTTCCAGTGATTAATCCGGCGAATGTTTCAATGACTCGGGGATCAATGATCATTTCCGCAGAGAACGACGAGTATAGTCCTTCAATTATCAACCCGTAATCAGAGGGAAACATATGCCGGCAGTTCCGAAAACCTTGCTCAATATTGTATATAGACTTGCTTTTCTTTAGATGATACCTACATTAATCACATTCGATCTTTTGATTTCATCCATCCAGCGGCTTTGAGAACCCTCGAGTCTCGCGTCAAAAATAACAAAGATGAATCTAATAAAACAGGAAATTACGACCCAGCATCACGTTATTCTGTAGCTCTTGCCTAACGAAGAACGCCATAGCCTCTGCCTGCTATATAGAAGTAAAAGCATAACCTCCAAACTAAACCCACCCACCCCCAACCTAGTATAACAATCATCATTATGGAATTCCACAACAGCATCCAAACCGGCCTCTCCGTCCGCACCATCCTAGAATACATCCTCCTCGAACTAGACATGCGCACAATCCTTACCTCAGCGTCCCGCGTCAATCGTTTCTGGAACTACACAATCAGTAATTCCCGTCCCATCCAACAAGCACTATTCATACAACCATTTAGACGCCGCAACCACAACTCCTCACAGGGAGTCCTCAACCCTCTACTAGCAGAAGCCTTCCCAGGGATCTTCCAGCGGAACAGTACCGTCTTCCCCGAGCACACAGAAAGCAAACTTACCTTCGACACTTTCCACATGGTCAGAGACCCCACCAGGACGGAAATATACATGCGAGAAAACGCAAGTTGGCGCCGGATGCTGGTCCAGCAGCCTCCTGCGCGTTCATTGGGGATCGTTAGCCATATTGGGGATGATACGGGGTTTCGGGAGAGGTGTGAGATACAGGTTAGTTAGTCAATTTGATCTATTTCATTGGGTGGGTGGGGGTGGGTTTTAATGTGCGTTATGTGTTTGTTAGAGAGTAAGCGAAACGGGACCAGAGCCGCGAGATGACGGTGTGCGCATGGAAATGCTTTTCGACATTCTGGTATTTCATGGCGATTTCCATGGCTTGATGGATTATGCTACTGTTTACTGGTGGGGAGATCGTTCGGGCTCTTGGGTACTGGAATATATGGAGGGTATGGGCTTGTGCAATGCCTCGACGGCGCCGGATCTGATATTGTATATCCCTCTGTTTTTACCAGGTCGTCGGGATATGGGTTCGGACATGGAGGTTAGTGGTCGTACGCCGGCTTTGGATTACCTTCGTTCTTTTTATCAAGACAATGGGATAACTCCTAATTTGAATTTAAGGGATGGGTGGGAAATTTTTGTTAAGAGACGGAGAAGGAGATGGGTGTGATGCATGTATGCGGTATAGATACTATGTAGATAGGATCAGGTAATAGCATTCGTACGATATGTATGACCACGCAGTGGCAGGCCTTTGTCCAGACGCATTTCACTAGCCCTGAATATACGTGCGGAACAAACTCGCCAGTTTAAAGAAACTGGCCTTGTAGAAGCGCCCTTGCGTAGTCAAATTGACATACTACAACGATGTCAGTATAAGCTATTTTTGACACAAGAAATAAAATCCACCTGTATTCCAAACCTAATAGAATACCCAGCCCTCCACTCGAAATTATCAGCCATACTCCAAGCCGAGCACCCCAGCAGTTTAACCCCTTCCTGAACAGCCATCAACATCGCCTGCACATAATCATGATAATAGAGGGTCCTCAAAGGATCCGTTAGTATATCCTCGCGCAGAGTCTTCTACGCCTCAAAACGGCTCCGAAAACCTAAACTCAGCAATGGCTATACCGTTCACGGGATTCCACGTATCCTGAATATAATGCAAAGATCTGGGCAACCAGTCAGTAGCCTTATGGAGCCAGACCGATCCAGGGTCGGACGCTGGGCCAATAAGCCAGCCACCTTCGAATCTAGGCAACGTGTATGAGGTGTTATAGCATGAAGGGTGCAGGCTGTTTTTGGGGTCAGCTAGACACCCCTCGATCCCTTCTCCAGAGATATTAGAGAGAAGTTGAGAAGAAGGAGGTAACAAAGTTAATGGAGGACGGGGGAGGGGGGAAGAGGAGAGAAGAAAATAAGGCGGAAAAGCAGAGGGGCGGCTCTTGTCTCTCTTCTGGATGCAGCCAAGCCATCTTCCTTCTCGTTCACCCCCCTTCATTCCATTACCCACAACTGCACCCCAGCAATGCTGTCAAAGGTGGACAGACCATCCAACTGCGACATTGGAATTTGCTGCCTTGATAAAAGATCATCCAACCTGTACTTATCTATAGAACAACCCAGACTCCTCTTCGAGTGGCTGATAGCTTCCATACCTGGGCTGATTTCGTGTCAAGCAAAATGAGGGAGAGTACGCAAGCTGAGTCTCCCAGCTCTTGTCTTCCTCCTTGCTTCATTTCTATGACCGTTACAATGCTTTGAGTCGCTGAATACAATGGAGGACTAAT